CGTGACACAAAATGCAAGAAAGAAGTACACTAGAGCAGGCAAACATGAGAATCTTGCCATAAGCAAATACAGAGAACCAGTTTTGCCACTCACTGGACCACAAGACCTGCGATTTCCAGGATGCTGGGAGACAGTAAGAGAATTTAAAGGTGCCTTTAAACCGAAACCAATTAACATGTAAATGAAACACTTGTTAAGCACACCTTTGCTAAGATTAGTGTTGCTTCACAAATACCACACACAGCAAGCAACACTCTTTTCACTGCTCCTTCTGCCAACTGTTGTTCTCCCTGACAAAAAGAGAACAGCTGATCTGTATTACTGACGTGATCCGGAGAGTCAGTGTCAATTTTGAAAACTAGCAGAACACACTCATTTTACCTTATGGGCAGTGGCAAACTGAACATTTTATAATAAACACATTTGAAATCTAAAAAAAAAAAGATTATAATGTCATCCCATGCACAGTAAGTAATCAACAATATTAGATTTTAGGATAAATTATGACCCTGTCCAATTTTAAAACTATACGGTCATCCTCACAGGTCATTGTTCAGTACAGCACAGTACTGCACATGGGTATAGCACACAATTGTACTTTAAACAAAATCGTCTGCCGTATTTTCAAAGGTGTTCAGCTCCTTTATTCATTCTTTTCCCCCATGCTTGAAGAGTTCAAACCAAAGGTAGGAGGAGAAGCATCTAGCTTGTAAGAGTGACCCAGAGAAAATCAGTTACAGAAAGAGAGGGATGAGACAATCAGCCTTAAATCTAATCCATGCCTTGGCAGCCATTACAGTAATTCCATCTGCAGGTGAACCTCCTCAATTTCAGGCAAGAAAACTACAGTATGCAGCTGTTTCTGATTCTTAGCTCTGGGAGCATATCCCTTTATACCTTATTTCTGTATAACTCAATTACACCACCATGAGTACCAGAGGGTCTCCTCTGTGATGTCATCCTGGATCCTGGAACAGATCTGATCAAAATCACCTCCATTTCTTCAAGAACTGAAGTCTGGCCTCTAACTCTATTAGAGGAATAAAAGCCTTTAAATTGATACTTTCATTACATTTTATGAGCTTCATTTTTAAAAGTCAATATTTTTAAAAGCACAGTTAAAGAAAACACTCCAATAGACAACAAGAGGAAAAAAAACTGTGATTGAGCTTTTACAGTTTCAGTGCTTATTGCCATTCTAAAGATTATAAAACAATGCCCAGAAGATCACTCTCCTTGCAAGAAGTGAGATTATACTACGCTACAACTGCACTTCCTGATCATCAGACAGTAGCTGTTTTCAAAAGACACAATGGGGGAAACATTTCTTCCATTAGAGTTGTTTATCCATATTCCCATCAGCTCCCTCTTTCACTTGAGCAGGTCCCCAGTTCCACAACCATCAACAGAGGAGGAATCATGAAACCTGCATGAAAACACTCAAACCCCAAAGGACAGACCTGCCAGTGAAGCTGATGTGTGCACACCTTACTGCCAACTTCCCTTCCAAGAAAGCTTTGTGAGTAAGGCATCATTTCCTCAGAATAAAAATACCTGAAATTTAGTGCTGCAAATAAAAAGGCTAGCAATCACCAAAACGATATCCGAAATCCCCACTTATTTATGATTAATACAGTAAGCATGTTGTAGAAAGTTACAACTAAAAGTATAATGGCTATTTCTATTCATGTATTTGACAAAGAATGTTGCCAAATACTCCCGTGGTAATATTATCAATATCAGAAAATTTTGAGAAATAAAGTCCAGATCAAATCTATTTTAAGTTTCCTTTCAAACAGATTTGAAGCATTTCTAATCACATAACCATGTTAAGCTTTATTCAGCTTACTCAGGTGCTACACCTGTCCAATGCAGAAAATAGCTGCACCTTTAGAAATTGTGGATGATCACTAAACCTGCATAACTCATCATGTCTTTATAAATGACATAGCATGATTAAGCCTTAAAACCTTGAGCCTTGAAATGTCTTGAACTAATTATATTAAAAAATCCATTAGACTTAAGAAAAAATGAAAGGCAGAAAATTAATTCTGAAATAGGCTTAAAAGCTTGTCTTTGAAAGAAGACAATATAACTGGGGCAATCTTATACTGTGCTGCTACTGCTGCTGCTCATCTCCACTCCACAAAAAGATGTTTTACTCAGCGTGCCTGTTTAGCTCAACAGGGGAAACGGCATCTTATCAGCAGCTTTTCTTGCAAATACACAACTTGACCTTCTTACACATTCAGAAACCTTTATTACAGCATTAAAACATAAAAACTATTCTGAATAGCGCAGTATAGAAGGAGTGAGATGCTGGTGTGTGTGACCCGGCAATAGCAGATATGACCTCATGCTGAATATTATGGCGTTTCAGAGACAAGAAAGCAACACTGAAAAGAGCAGAGGTCCCAGGGCTGCTTACAGTACATCTTGCATCAATCAGGCCTCAAATAGATTGTTTATAAGGCTGCAGACAGATAACAGGACTTGTTTCTTACTTCCCCCCTTCTTCATACTGAAATCATTCAACCATATGGACACAAAACATTACAGCAAATTGATCATCTGCAGCATCTGACAGCACAGAAAGACACAACAATTATAAATGGTTTATTTCTTAAAAACACTGCTCAACAATTTCTGGTAGCCGTCAGGGTGCAAGGGTTTTTTAAAAAACACTGCAGGCTTATTTCAAACACCAAAAGATTTATCAGCTTGTTTCCAGACAGCAAGAGGAAAACATTTCAAACAAAACCGATTCTGATTATCAGATTAAATGTCAGGTCTTGGCAGATCACTGCTGGTGGTCTTGTGGTTAAATATACAGCAGTGGCATCATTTTCTGTTCTGCCTTAGTACACATTCACCTTGGCGAGGGAGATTAATTACCCTGCTTCATGTTTTTTTACTAAATATTTTTGTATGTCAAAACTATTTAGCTTAAGGTGCCAAGAAACTGAGGCACATTTACATTGCATTAAAGGTAACAATTCTTACGTTTGAGCTCAAGGAGCCACAGGGAAGTTGAGGGCCTGCAGAGGAAACTTTCTATTCAGTGACTTCCAATGTACACAGCCTCCTAATTTCATGCCACACTGTCTCTTCCCCTCCTCGACGTGGCTGCTAATGCACAGTATTTCACTTGTAATTCTCCAAAGAGCAAAAAAATCACTACTATTAAACACTAAAACCACATAACCTTTTCTGCATGGGGAATAAACAAATTGACAAAGAAACAGACAAATGTGTGTGTGTGTATACATACACAAAAAATAGTACCCTGGATCTTAAAAAAGTTAACTCACGAGAACCTCAAGATCTGAATTAATAATTTATGGAAATGTGCTAGAAAAAACATTTCCATAGATTTATACTCAAACAGAACTGTCCTTAGAAAATGTCATAAACTGAGTTTAAAAAACATTTCTGTACACCATTTTCTAATTTACCAATTACTGAATTAAATCCTGATTTTTTCAAATTCTGAATACATTTAAAAAACCTGGTAGCAATGACTCTTTCACCAGAACACAGAAAAGGGCTTAACATTTATTGAACTGCAATCTGAAAATGAAGATAGTGTAACTGCAATGTCTCATATGTGTGGATCTCTAATTTTTAGTGATAGCTTTGTAACACCTACACATTGAAGTAGGAGCTATCACTAATTCTCACTGAAATAGCCTTCCCAATTATTTGACTTCTTCAATAATTCAATACTGCTCCATGACTGAAGAACTACTGTATAGGTATGTGCTGCAGTCAATCTGAAATTTGGTAGATTACCATTTATCCAATAGAGTGAGTACTAATTAGCAGAAATTACCACTGACAATTCCAAAATTTCCAACAGAAAACGGTCAAATTGTGTTGATCATGTGTTTTTACAATGAAAAGGTGGGTATCGGCACTGATGGGCAAAGCAGCAGTAGTTAATAAGTAGTAAAACTTACTATTTGCTTATATCCATCATGAGTAGCATGCTGGCTGTTTCAGTCACAGAAACACAGACTATGACCTACAAAAATGGACTACCGAATCTGAAGCCCTAATTTCCTAGTGCGCAGTCTAAGACTAAAGCTTTAGTATTGTTCATCTCCAAATATTACTCATATTAATCAATAATTGCACTGCAGCTAAATATTTTTTCATTCAATTATCTTTATTTGAGTATAGTATAATTTCTAGGTTTATTAAACCTATCATGGTGCTGCAAAGATTTCTAGTTAATTTAATTGATTTCTGTAGTCTTCTATATACTTTGAAGAGCTGTCCATGTCAAGTGTAGTTTATAGATAGTTATATAGTGCCTGACAGGACAGACAGTGTCAGGCGAGGTGCATCATGCACTCATCGAACTGCAAGCCAAAAAGTCACAGGAGTCTCCATTAGCAGAAAAGCTGATAGAGAGCACTGGCTGACTTATCCCGACTCTACCCTGGAAGGGCTCTGTTTTGCATGTGAACGATGCCAATCAGTCAGCTAGCGATATCGTCCAGGCTCACACTAGTGACGTTTAGAGCTCAACCTGTCCTCCAAAGAGCACCTGTACTAGTAGAGCCACCCAGGAGTCCCACCCTGCTAAAATAATATTATTATATTGTTTTATAAAACATTTAACATTTTATGATTTACTTTAGAATTAAAGATTCTAATAAAACTTTGAGATGATGGGTGACTGCATAAATTACTAAGCTATTTCAGTGAACTACCCTTCAGCTGACTGTAGTGCTTTTGGAGAACACTTTAAAACTTTTGTGCTGAATAAAAAACACAGAGTTGAGATTGAGGGCTAGCAGCATACACGCAGAGAGACGAATGAAAATGGATAATTCTGTATTAAAGGGATCAGAAAGACAGACAAAACAAAGGCATCATTAAAAGGTAACCTGGGAGAACAGCCAGCCTGCATTTCACTATGAAAATCCAAAGAGGCAGCTATTTGAAAGATAAGGAGTGGGCGTCAGAGACGGGAGGAGGACAATCTCACTCACCTTCCTGCAGCATATCGGGAACATCCGCCTGGAATCGGGGCCCCACGCGGATCTCGCCCTTGTCTGCCAGCAGGGTTTTCTGCGTGGGGTCATACACCAGTGAGTAGAAGAAGGTGTCCTGGAGAACAGAGGACAGGCAACAGAGGATTTAGTTTCACAGCTCCATCCCTCTTTCAGGTTTCAGTTTGGGGCTCGGCACACCGCAGCTGCACTCCCACGCCAACAGTGCAGCACTTGGAGCAAGTCAGTGTGTCCCTCAGTCCCTTTCTCGAGTTCAGCTTGAAGCAGGAAAATCACCTTGATTCATTTTTCTGTACAAGCGCATGAATAAGATCTAAATATCCTTTTAAGAGCATTAAAATTAAAGACCTACTCAACCACAGAAATCTTACTCTTACAGAGAGAAAGATGAAGGTGTTGAAGAGGGAAAAAAACACCTCATTTACAAAACACAAAACCTTTCATTCATTACCATTTACTGGCAAGGGAAATCCTATGTGGTCCTAAAAACTTTCTAAAATAATATTCAAAATTATTAGTAATAATTATGCTATCACACTTGGTTTCACTAACGTCTTTCAGTGCTAGAAACCAAGCTGAGGGCAATAAAACAGTCTAATTAAATCTTCCTCAAAACTGAATGGACGTGCTGTACATACAGAAAAATAAAAGTTTTCCGACTTTAACACATATCCTTCTTTCCTAGCTTCTCCACAAAGAACCTTGTATGAAGTCCAGCATGTACCTCTTTGTCCAGATAAGAGAGAACTGATTCCGTTTCGTTCAAGAGAGCGACACTGCATTTTCCCCTGCAAAAACAAAAGACAGCTCTCAGAAACACAGGCAAGTCGTGAGCTCCCGAGCTGCGGCACGAATACATTACCCCACCACCTACACTCCTGCAATTGAAAAGGTTCGGAATTTAAAAATACTAGGGTGCTTCTGCTATATGTTTTAATTACACACTTTCATGCAATTTTAAGGATATGTATGTACAAACTGTCTCTTCATTGGCCCCATTAAAATAGCCTGTGTCCATGCTGAGATTCAAGAGGTGCTCATCAACAGCCTGAAAACGGGCATTAAGTGAGCAGTGCTGGAAAAAAGGATGAGCAGCACCCCCACCCAGAGCAAGAGAGGGTTCCTTTCCCCAGCTAGCCTTTCGAAATTCTACATCAGCTGAACTTAACTTTTTTTTTAAATGAATGAAAACCCAAGAGTTTCCTTTCAAACCATGGGAAAAAAAACTTCTAAGAAAAAGCGATGGTTTCATAAAATTGCACTTTCGTAACCAGAAAATGTACGCTGTTCAGAATACCTCATTAACCACCACCATGTTCTCCCACATTTTGTTTTCCTGTAGCTCAAGTGATTTTTCATGCATTAATCATTTTGATTTTGATGTTAGTACTGTGCTTGGGGGGAATCAAGATTAATCTGTGGGCATAGATCATGTCTGCGTTTGCACTGGAAAAGTGTGCATAGATAAGCCTGTGGACTCTGTATTAGCCCATAACGTTTCCTTTTCAATCTGTTAATGGCACAATTTCAAGATTTAAAAAGTGTACTCACAATCTATAACAATCTAAGTTTAAAAAGTGCAAGTTCTGGAAACACAGGGAAAAAAAACATTTTAAAACAAGATCATTCATTTGACATTGCTCACTCTGCTAGTCTGAAAATAAAGAGTAAAGAAAATAGTTCTCAGAGTAGCAGAAAAGTATTGGTTTTATCTAATTTAAAATGCCTCTGTATGTGAAAATAAAAGTGACCATTTATCAAGAACAGTTGTCAGAATGATTTGAGAGACAGGCTTATGCAGCCAAAGGACTAGACTTGCAATACTGCAAATCTCTTTGAGCAGTTTTCAGGTGAGCCTAAAGGATTGTTGTGATTATTACATTTTGCTCAGCAAACCAATAAGATTAAATGACCATGTAAATTTAGAAATCAGCTGTGGGGCTGTAGTGTATGTAGCCCAGGGTAAAGTTGGTTACAACACCACTACAACTGCTAGAAGCAGAAAACGGTGAACCCCTGTGGTTTGTTTGAAGCACTCTGAATGTGTGTTGTGTTGCACAATGCAATCGGAAGCTCGGTTGCTCATCTTGCGGTTTGACTGTTGACAAAAACACAAAAAAAGCCTCGAAAACAAAACTAACACACACCACCAAACAAAATGTCTACCACGGAAGACGGTTTTACTTTCTCTTTTCCATGTTCACGGAAAAAAAAAAACTGGACGTTAATTGACTTAGACCAGCCAAGAAAAAGACCCGCTAGCAAGTGTGAGTCAGGCCCTCGGTGTGTGCAAGCTTTTATTTTGCAGAAGCAAGGAATAAAGTCAGCAAGGCACATTCTTCCACACAGCTTTAGAATCAATAAGTGCTTACAGCACTCACCGCTCCAGGACTTGTGCTATTAATTCCCTTTTGTTTGGATCAGCAGTACAATTCAAAGCAGGCAACTTCCTGCAGCTTGAACAATCAACACTTGTAAATGGAAAAGCAAATCTATTTATTACAGTTTAGAACCATGAAGGACAAATATTTAAATCTATCCTTGCGCTACCTTGCTGAACACTGCTCATCACAGCAAAAGCAAGGTATTTCTAGATTTGATTTCCTTAGCAGAAAATCCTGAGACTAATGTTTACGATAAAGCAGGATACTGCTAGAACCTTGAAAGCAAGTATTTATTACATATAATTTATAACAGAAATAATACAGCTTTTGGAAGATGACTTGTCACTGTGAAATCTACTCTAGTTAAAAGTTACAACGAAAGCAGAAACGAACTATCAGGAGCTTCGTTTATGGAGGACTGCACTAAAACCTGGTGCAGTCTAGCAATGAGCTACTCCACACAGGCTTTTCAGACATATGGAACAAATTAGTCAAATATCTGCATCAGCTACTTTTTAATGACATGAATGTCTCATCTGATTAACGCAGTTAGAAGGCGCTGGTACAGTAAACCCTTGGCAAGCTACAACAACAGAATTCAGGATACCTTAGAGCCTCTTCAGAGCACTGTTGATTTGGTCACTACCTATACCCTTTAGAGGGATCATTTTTATTCTGTAACGTCAATTTAATCTGCCTCAACTCCCAAATTAAAGTACTGACTAATACATTTTATGGCAGCCTAGTAAAACATTTATCACTTGTATACTGGCACAGAATCAGAAAAGCTTAAAAACTTCCTGACGCAGAATGCAAGTACAGTACATAAAGATACTATTCCAAATTGGAAGTCCACTGTAAGCAACATATGCTGAGGTTTGATAATGAAGAACATAAAAAATGACAAAATTTGTCATTTGCATGTGGAATGACAATGCATATTATATACAATTGTTCACACGTGTTCTTGCGTCTTTTCAGCATTAGCTCATACACTATGCATGTGATGCATGATCTATTTGTACAAAATGCGCGTGCTATAGTGTTGCAGTTTTTTAAAAGATTTTTACTGTTTTTTAAGAACTTCTTTGTTCTTCAACTATGAGGCTAAGAGGTTTACTCCAAACCCCTCTGAGTCTCTGTGTAAAGTAGAATCTCCTGTTGTTTTAGCCTAATGCTTCTAAATGTATTTTCCCTTTCCATTCGCCATACATTGTTGTCGACCAGGACGATATTCCCTGAGTTGGTGAACAGCTTTCAAGATTTCAGGATCCCACTCGGTTCTTGTACTTCTTTCACAAGCTCCATATTTCTTTCCAATGGCAGATTTGGTCTCTCTCCCTTTAAACTGCCTCCAGAGCACCGACACCTTTTGCAGCATGGTAGCAGAAGCAACCAAATGAGTTCTAAGCAGTGGACTGTATAATTATAGCATTATCCTTCCATCAACATCCCTTACTCTGTTAGTACTTGGCACATGATGCCAAGATGTAGTACCTGATATGTGTTGCTGGTAGTGACTCATACTGGCGGGACAAGAAGAGTTCGCGGTGTCTAAGCTGGTGTTTCTGCTTCTCGGTGAGATCAGGCTCGCTGGGGTTCTCCTTCTCTTCTTCCAGCTCCTCTGCACATAGACAAAGAACTAAGGTCAGGAAAGGTTCAAGGAGACAGACTGCTGAAACATGACATTAACTACATCATACTAATAATAAGCGGCAATTTCCTGTGGATTACTGCTCTCCAAGCAACCTTAAAATGAAGACCCTGACAGATCTGACACCAGATACCAGAAATGATCCCAATATTTGAAATGAGATCAGTTTGGCTACCCGCTCCGTACATTGCAAATCCTCCATGGAAAATGTCTGCAAACCCGTTCCGCTCATCTGTGAAATCTAATATCCTTAGGGCATCACTCCTTTCTGACAGGCTGTTGGTTTTACTTCATTAAAAACGCCTAAAGAAGAATTTCAAAGCACTCAACTTTAAGGATTGCATTCAATGTCTAATAGTGTCTGGGACAAATCTAATTTACAGCACAGGTTGTATTAGAAAATAAAACTTTTCTATACCCTCTATACTTTTGTGAATCACAAAAAGGTAAGTGGAAGATAATTATACGTTCACCATATCCGTCATGCAGCTTCCTTTTTAGGGTAGCATGACATGCTTCATGGCGGTAACTATACAGATAAGTAAATATGCAGGAGTTTTTCACTTTAGATAATGCAGGGAGATCTGAGAACAGCCTAATTACAAATGGGATTGTGATGACAGCATATCTAACAAATCTGACTACCTCTCACAGGGTGGGCAAGAAGACATATCTTCACCTCCGGCACCCCGGAGCCTTTAGAAAACACTCAATTAGTCAGGACACAATGGAAGCTGCATTTTTTAAAAAGAAAACCAAAGCAATAAGTAACCATCTGAATAAAAGACAGCTGAAAAAATGGGCTGGATAAATACCTTATTGAAATATTCTTAATTAATGTCAGACAGTCCTATGAACCAAAAACGGTTTGTACTCAAATTCTGAGATGATTAGTTGCATAACGAGTCTTCATGGGGTTTTATTATAGCTCCCAATTAAGAAATGAGACAGGACTTTTCAAGCTCACATACAGCACTCGGCATACAAGAAAACACAGATGGGGGGAAAAAAATGATAATGCACCTCCGTATTCCACCAGTCATATTTATTATTACATTTGTTTCTGCAGCAATCCTGGCACACATCATTCATTTCCACTTTTAAATACACAAAGAAATTCTTAAAATGATGAGACCAGAAGCACAAGTAAATTACCTGGTGAAATGGACTAAGGTGGATGGCTCTTAGTCTGTGCATAGTGTAACCCTAACAACTGTACTGCAGTAAACATGGTGCTGTGCCGGCAGGCGTGTGGGCCCCGTGTCTGTGGGATCAGTGTGCTTCACTTGGCCGTAGGGGGAGCTGGTGCACTAGGGGGCTGTTCTCTTTCCTGCCCTTTCCGTTTCCCACACACATGGCACAACTCCAGCCTTCAGTCACCCCTCCTCTCCCCTCTCCAGTTACAGAGATGAGGAAAGTGGGTAGTAAACAAGTACATGGACTCTACATCTGCCCATACAATTCCTCAAGCCTTTAAGACAAAACAGCAGATGCAGGATCGGATTTAGTAGAAAAGGGAAAGATCGATACCGCTGGTGAATACGTCGCTCTGTCCACAATGGCACACCGCTTTGAAGCAGAGGGGGGAAGAGCACTCACTGATGTGGCAAAGGAAACATGCTTCTTTTTGAGGGAAGACAGTCATTTCTAACTGCAGCTGGCTCAAGGTGATCTTTCTGACACACACTGGGCTGCGAGACCCTTGCTACTGATGCCAGGACTAACTCAGGGCCTCTTCTGGGTAGACAAGAAGGCCCTGTGTATTCCCCCACTGAGATCTTCACAGTGGGCAAACAGACTTGTAAGCCTCAGCTTAAAATGAGTTTATTTTAATTTTAATTTAATTAATTTTATTAATATGCTGCTGTATTATTGCAATACTGCAACAACCAAGAGTGCACAACCACATATCTTAATTCAATTCCATCATCTATTGTGCAGAAAGTGCTGCAGGTGATGCTGTATAATGGGCCCAAGGATGCTCCGCTGTACCTTGTGCCCGTTTATGATTCTGCAAGGTCTTCAGATTTTGCTCCATGTCAGACCACGTGGATGTTGACATTTACTGTGCATTACTACTAAGATCTTCTGACAGCTCAACCACTGAGAAATGACCTCTTAGTCAGAATTATTTGCACATGCATTAAGTAACATACTCTCATTCAATGAAACCCAGACCATGACACATGCAACCAATTAAATTCATTGCCGTTTAAGTGAACTCACTGGCATGCTTATCTGCAAGCTGTATGAGGCTGTTCGAGATGTCCCTCCTCCGGTAAAAGCAGACCACCTTTGCCTCAACATTGCCACTTGCAGTCTGAAACACAAAAGGGACAAAAAGACTCAGGACCCATGAAGTACATAGATACTTGCATACTGGTCATTGTGAGCAAAACTCATTTTGTCTTACAATTGCAAACCAATAAAACATCCACAAATGCACACAAGAACAACGAGTAATAATAAGAGGCACAGAGATGCTGGCTTTGCACCTGGTTAACATCTTACACAAGATCAGAATGTTCCCTGTACATGGTCACATCTGTGATTAAAACCAGGTAGTTGCCCCTATGAAAGATCAGGGATGATTATCAGATACTTCGCATGGATTTTCGATATTTAAAAAGTATGACCAGATTACATTTTTGGTAGCAGAAAAACTGCTCTTAGAAAAAAATCCGGGTTTCTTCATTAGCTCTCTTTTTCTATGAGATGCTGTTCTGTTTTTTTATGTATTTGTTGGCGTTTCTGCGTGGCTCTGTTTTCAAAGCACTTGATAAAAACTTGCTGTGGCCGTGAAGACTGGGAGTATTAATGTTTCTGCGGAAGGAATAAAATGGTTATCGAGAGGTTTCCTCCATGTCATCACCGTCTGGCAGCTGCAGTAAAATGAATAAACAATATCTCGCCATCTCACTCACAAATTATTCTGTAATTAAGGGGGGAAATCAAGAAAAAACAAATGATGTTTATCCTTCATCTCACTAATAAAACCTGTGCCCTGAGAGATACTAACTCAATACAGCCCACTTGACAGGATTTAGCAAGGGTCTACCATTCCTTCCAAACTCTCATGTTCACAAAACGTAATGTGCCACATTTCCTTTGTTAAAAAAATCCAGGTATGCCTTTGTTCCTTGTTTTAGAAATGCTGTTACAGACACTATCACAGACAGTTTTGATGAAATTTGCACTGCACTGTCTGTCACCGCCCACCCCATCTTCCTGGTGCAAACAACGATTTATTTGTGCATAATGAATGCGTTTATACCTCAAAGCATTCCTCTGTATGCCAGCTACACATTACAAAAGACATCTCAACATCATAATACTTATCAGAAAACCCAACAAACACTCTCACTAGTCTAGGCGCTACTCCCCTTCATGAAGGGATAAATCGTGTGACTACATGGATTTCAATTTTTTTAAACACTTAATTCTACTTAACACCCAAACACAACTGGTTCCATGCGTGTAATGATCAATAGGCCTTTTCCCTAATCACAAAAAGACCTTAAAGATTTTTCAATTAATATCTTCACATATTCTGAGATCTTTACAAATGGGACAATGTGTCACCTCAAACAATAATTTTCACACAGAGCTGTCATGTAGAAGATCTAGAAAAAAAGGACCAGTCATTCTATTTTGTGGGTGTGGGGTGGGAAAATACTGGAACATTAAAGGTTACAGGAAGAGTTTTCTGTTGTTATTCCTGATTAGCAACATAAGCAAAGGAAAGTCCTTTCTCAAAGACACTACAAATGAACAGCAAAATGTCCGTATCTGATCAGCTTACTAAAGTTAAGCCTCAGGTTAAGGCAGAGTATCAGAAACAATTACTCACAGTAAAGAAGAATGTACTATAATTTACCATCTAGAACCAAATATTAATCACAAAAGTCATCTCTTATGTTGTGACGGTTCATTACAAAGACGATTGCTCATTTTGCTCATTCATCTCCAAGGCTCAACATCTGTACAGACCTGAATATCATTTTCAAGAGTGTCCACTGTGTCAAGAGTGACTTCAATTGCATCAATGATATTAATGCTTATATCATTTAGGAGCAGTGATCAGATATGCCCCGTGACCCTACTTTTACACTGGTGGTAGCCTATGGTGTCTATAACTGACAAGAGCTCCACTGGCCACACAATGATACTGGTCAGACTACAAGATAGAGTAATGCAGGGATCTGCAACCGTGCTCTTGGTAAGACCTGGTGTCTGAATTCTAGTCGTTGGAATATCTGAATGTTTACTTGACATACTTTCCAGATATTGGTTCATTGATCTTTTAAATCTGTAAAACATGGAGAACTGCAGATATCCAAGATCCAAAGATCAGGTGAGATCAGCCATTGCAGACTCCTTTCTTGTTACAAAGAAAGCTTTCTCTTTTCTTGTTACAAGTCAGGGGAAACTTCAAGCCATCAAACAAAGTCACAGGAGGAAAAACATCTGCGGAATAAAAACAATGTGGTTCAGAATCTTTCCTGAATCCATATTGTCTGAAAAATAATGAGGGTATTTGCACAAAAGAGTTAAGCCAACAGTAATGATTACGCTGCAAAATGCCAACCTGTTTATAGAAACAACAAAATGGCATGGAAACGCCTGTAAGCCTCTGCAGAGTAACTAAAACTCCATTGCCAAGGGTTTCATTATTATAGGAGAAGGTCTGGGTTGCTTCAGAAAGCTCACATTTCTAGCTGTTTGGCCACGAGTAGAGAGAATAATATCCATGCTTTATATGCACCAGTTTATTAATCCGATTTTAAACCACAGTCCAGCACATCTGCTTTTAAGTCAAAAACAATACTGAGTGCCTTTCATTATGCTTTACTTCCAAAATGGGAAATATTAAAAAAAAACATTCATAACAACTTTGTTTTTGCAAAGCTAGACTAACTCATGAAAGCACTGAATCAATGTTTGGGGTTCTTGGCTTGGTGCATAAAAATTGTACATGAAATACAAGAAATTCTACAACAAGACAGAGAGAATGAGTGCTGGTGCTGTAAGGCAGGATAAGACACGAAATGCCAGCCACAGATCCACTCCAGGTTAAAATGTGTACAATAAAGCTGACACAAAGCAAGGCTAGAACTATAAAAAAACATGCAGCACTCACTCAAACTTTTGTTTATTAATTTTGCACGGAAAAAGGCTGAGAGCACTGCGTCAACCTCCCACCAAGGTGCTTTCATAGAGCCCTTTGAAACACGTATGAAGAAAAAAAAACACGCTTCCATTTTAGAAAAACACGTGGCAACATTAGGGCCCTGGAGCCGAGTTAGTGAACAAAAGCCCTTCTGAGTGCGCTCTACAACAGGAAGCCACCACACACGCCGGGAGTAAACTGTCCAGAGCAAGGGAAAAGGTAAAGACAAGGTCTTTTCTGGCAAACATCGACCACCAACATTTTAAACTAACAATATCGCATTTTGACATTTAAAATTCTTAACATCAAAGACTCTGCAAAGGTATTGTCTTGACTTGATGAGATGCTGGAGACGTTTAACATGGCTTCAGTACTCACACGTTGCACAAGGTATTAACCAAATACTGACTGAAGCAGCAGAAGAATCAAATTAATGTCCTTTTGTTGCTAATACTTCCTTTGAACACATTAAGGGCTGGTTATAGGGAATGCGATCAGATGAGTAAATAGAAAGGGACTTGGTTCTTTTTAACCCTGAAACCCAAAGACTGTTCAACTGTGCAGGTGTCAAACGGACGGACTGAAATTCAGTGCCAACATAAACAACTGCACCACTCTGCAGCTAACAAAACGAGACTGAGCTCTTAAACCCAACACGCCGTCTCGCCATGCTGAATCGATAAAAGTCTTTGGAGCATCGTTGTTGTAAGTAAACTGCAGTGAAAGCTCTATATTCACTGATCCTTTGACCGTTATCCCCGGCACCTCCATCTGCACAAAATTAAGCATTCTTCATTCAAACCACAGGCAACTACAAACTTAATATACACACCACAAGCCTCCATTTACCTAGTTAAATGCCTAAATCACAATACAAGCGATTAGGTAATTAAATCAAATGGAACATACGGAATAAAATATAACAAATTGCTGGTGTGTGCCGAGAAAAAGGTACCCCACAATTACACTAAGGAAATAAACTCAGACATGTTCTCGGCTGCCTGCTGTTGAGAAGATGCTGGCTCTTGCTTGGCTCTAATGACACTCTGAAATCTGTAATTCTGTCATTTAAAATGTTACAGCTTTGGAATAACTATAAGCCATTTAGCCATTGATCATGTAACTTCCAATCATGCCAAAAACCCCTCATTGCTCACAGTAATATACACTGAACATATAAGTCCTCACAACATACTTGGAATTTAGCCAATTCTAATTGTAACACTCATTGTTTACATTTCCAAATAGACGTAATTGCCTTAAACTACAGGCCAGCTTCCCTTTAATTACACCAAAATAGAACAGTTAAAATAGAGTCCCTTTAGCAGATTAAATCTAGTCCAATTTTGTCAAATAACAAAAGGAAGAAGCTCTGATCAGGACCTAACAGAACAAATAAATCGCACCTGCATAGAAACTGATAAAAATTCCTGATGCCCTCTCTACCAAGTCACTTGATGACTGCAGCTCCATGCTGTGGTTCACACTGAATGGATAGTATTCCATTATACTCTCCATTTGTGTGTCCCAGCACCAGGTGACTGCTCTTGGCAACTTTAAGTTGATGTGATAGCAATTTCACTGAGGTCATAGGATCCCAGAGTCAGTCATGCTCTAAAGCCAAGAATTACTGAAAGGAAACGCAAACCCACTGGTGTTCTGCAAGCACCACCAAAAGGAAGTTGCCCAGTTTGCCTACCAATCCAACAAAATATCCTCAAACACAAGCTTTGTAAGCCACACACAAGGATTATCGATTTTTATGAAGAGTTTCTTAGACGAATTTGAAGAGACCCAAATAACCTAAAAGCATGGGTGATTTGTGACAGATCTGTACTACAATCTTGCAGACTAATGAACATTCAAAAAGGAATAGTAGCTTCTAGGAGTAACAGTCCACTTAATAAAGCTGATTCCAGCAACCATATAAGCAATTTGACTTGTCCTTGTGTTCAAATGAAGAAATAGCTTGCAACTCAATAGTGAGTGCAGACAGGATCACAAATAAGAACCCTCACCAACTCAAGCAAAGAATGACTGCTGATGTGACTTATGACCCTTCCTAAAAGTCATATGCAAACTCCTATAAATTACAGACTACAGACAGGGTTGTGGTTAGTATGGAATATGTGTAGGAAATGTGGAATATTTGTGGGAAAAGATGCTTTAGCACACAATCTCCTCATGTGGAACAAAACGTATAATTCATTTGAGACTCTTTGGAACTCTTATATGCTTGGATTAAAAAAAAACACTGTCAATGACCTCTGGCCTTCCCTTAAGGTCACAAGAAAAAATCTAACTCTTTAGACAGTACACGTCGGGTCACAGCTTTTATGCAACATATCCAGGATAAGCTATATCAGAAAATCATCCTTGTCCTTGAAAAGTGATGGCTTGACTACCGATGATCATTGCTTGCAGCTATATTTATTATTATTGCAGGAAACCGTTATGGCTTGCTAGTCATTTAAATAAAGAAAGCTGGGTCTACTGTATGGAGGCATCTGCTATATCAGAAACATTACTACAGTACACTCTAGCCCAATCCCAGCAGATCTCTGGAGCTAGGCCAGGCTGGGACTGGTCAGTATTGCTGCCAGGTTTCACCATCACTTCGCCTGACGAACCAACGTCTCATCTGATCTGCTGTGCAGTGAAACTGCTAGGTTACCTACAGTGTTTTGTAAAGGTGTTCAAGTTTGCTGTGGAACAACAATAGATCTACACAAAAACTCAAATGAAGACTTTAGTAGGTGAAAGAAGTTAAAGATTGCCAAAAATCGCCATGAAAAATCAAAAATTAAGATGTTGATGATACATATTCACCCACCCTAGGAGTCAATGCTTGGTGGGAACACAACCAGCAGCAATTTTGGCTGCAAGATGTTGTGAATAGTTCTCTACATACTTCGCACAGCCATTCCTTTTAAAAACGTGCTCAAGCTCTGGCCAGTTGGTTGGGAATTGTTGATGGACATCTATTTTCTAGTCTTGCCACAGATTTCCTTTTAGATTCAAGACAGGACTTTGACTCCACCACTTTAGAGCATTCACTTCCTTCTTGCTAAAACCACCTCAGTGCATATTTGGCTAAATGCACCAAGTTCTAGCTCTTTCACAGATGGAATCAGGTTTTATATCTAACGTTTCCCTGTTCTTTGCCTTGTCTGTTTTCTCCTCAATCTTGACAAGATATCTAGTCAAGTCCCTTCTTAGCAACTTCTTAAACCGCTTTGCCTGACAGCAGGGATGATATACTGCAAACCCTGCACAGTGCAACTTCAAAGCTTTGTTGTACCACTCTGCCACACAATTCTGTGGAGCAAACAGGTTATTGCTGATTGGTTACATTTTCTCCCATCTTAGCCGTTGAACTTGAACTCTATTTCATTACGATTTGTCGCTGGCAGTGGCATCCCTATCCAATTTCCTCCTTTCTGGCTGCTCAGATTGAAGACACTGCCTGATCTAGATACACCTTCCTCATGACTGACTCTACTATGTTCAAAAGGATATTCGGTGTCTTTGAAATTTGTGTTATACTCTTCCCCTGATCTGTATCTTTCTACAATGTTGTCCTCGAGTTGCTCTAAAAGCTGTTTGGTCTCCATGTGTGAGTCTTTCCTTGAATTTCACTGCCTGACTGAGGGACCAACAGAGACAGGTGTATTTATACTGAAATCATGTGAACCATTATTATTGCACACAGAAAGAGACAAAGTAGGACATCAGTGAAGGGAAGTAAGTACTTTTGAAAGGCACTACTGATGGTGCTACACTTAAGTGGGGGATAAAGTGAGTCCACTTCTGTATGTAATGCACTTTGGGATCTTTTGACATGGAAAGTGCTATAGAAACACAAGCAATAACAACATATTGCTGACATCTGTCAGTCACACAGGACTGAGAGTCATCAGAGAGATTACTTTCCATGATTTCCTTATTGCCAACACTTTCCCCAGGAGTCAACTTAAATGGTCAGATCGAATAATCCCTCAGCACAAAGGCAAAATGAATTACATGCAAAGATCAACCTTCACAAAATCCTTAACAACGATTAAAGTCCGCCAACCTCGGTATACAAGTAGGTAAAAATAAGATCAGTGACCATGAGCAAATACTGGTCTGTCAATTTTACCCAGTTCCCTTAAGAAATGTAAGCTTTTTGCTCCTTAAAGGTCATCCCCTCAAGGGTTTTACAAACATCCACTCCCACCCTGCTCTTGGTTCCAGCCCAGAAAAACAATGCAAAATACCTTGTTCAACTCTTCTATTCTTCTGATTAGATATGGGTTGCTTGAAGAGTTCTCAAAGAACACATAATCTGCAACAAAACAAACAGGGTTAGAGCTTTTCAAAAGAAATGTTTTTATTGTCAATATTTAACTTGTAAACAAATTATTTTTCTTTAACCTAGATTTACAATAATTACAGATTTACAGTAATGCATTGGATGTCTAATTTGCAAAATGAGGTTAACTTTTTAATTGAGTACTTAAATAAAACCAGAAGACAAAAGCCCCCCCAAGGAACAGAGTTTGAGACTCCTGCACTTTGATGCCTGAAGATCAATGCAGAGCAAACACAGAAGCATATGTGATAAATCTTTTTTTTAAAACTGAAAATAGAAATAAATTATAATTCTTATACAAATAATGCCTATGACGATGCTCAGTGAAAAGCATATCATTACTGTTGCAAAGGTGTTTGTAACACAGAAAGTGGCATATCGCATAACTTTAAACAACATTAACCCTGGTGCATTTTTCTCATACACAAAAAAGCTCCAGTAATGCCGCTCAAAATGCAGAATCCCACTGAATTAGGTACATATCCACAGTTATGCTGTTTTAGGTGATCATGCTAAAGAATAACATGATAAACACCCAACACAAGAGTTAAATCGACTTAAATGCTGAGTTTGCTATGTGCATGTATTTTTATTTATATATATATACCTGCATGTATATAACACGTATGTACAAATAAAAGCCTTAATGTCTAGAAAGGAGTGTTTGCTGGCAATGTCAGAAAAGGCAACATTAAGATACTTAAGAGGTTTAAGAGTGTTAGTTGGTCTCAGAGGAAATTAAGGAGCAGTAGGACCAGTTGCCATGGACAGGTGCAAGTATTTGCAGGTTTTTCCTGAGCTCCTACTTCCTAACCCTGAAATCAGCTTCTGGACTCAGTGTTTTTAGAACATCAGAGCTCATGGGAAAGCGTCCCTAGTGATCCAAGACAGCAGAATTAGGAAGAAGTAGAATTGAAAGATCTGCACACAACAACTTAAATAATTAAAAAAAAATAATCCATGGGTTATATTAAACCTTTACAATGTATAAACCAGATACAAATCTCTAAAATATTTTATATGCAATAAAAACAAACTGGATTAAAGGGCAAAAAAACATCAGAATGACTTGCTCAAGTGAATTTTAAATAACAGAATAAAGGTCTATATCCATATATAAGTAATACGCACATATGTAATGTAGTTGTTTATTAGGTGTTGACATAAAAGAACATACACACTACTGGCAGCTACGTCACGTTTTAAGACACCCAGGCCAGACACCTACCTATGTAAGGCCTAATTTAATTCAATACAAAGTACTCTTATTCTGATCATTCAAAAATAATAAAAAGAAGCCGGGACGATTTCAAAACAGAAAGCAAAGTTTTTATTGTATTAAGGACGAACTTCTCCAGTTACCTGATGACAAAGAAAAGATTGTCGTAAAAGATGCCAATATTTTTAGGTGTCACGTGACTGGAACATTCCCATACTTTGAAGCACAAAATTTCACACAAGACCAGTCTGATCGCACTAGCTTCGTTCAGTAATTTCGATATATTTTATTTACCTTGAAAAAAATAATGCGTGGGGGGGGGGGGCAGAAAATTCCAGCCATTATGAAAAATGTTTTTTTTTTATCCTAGCAACCGGAGTTTCAAAAACCGATAGACATTATTATAACATAGGAGACACTAAAAAGAACAACCACCTTTTTCCAGATTAATGACAGAAAAACACACTCTGGGACCATACGACTGCCGAATTGCAAGTCTTTGGATGTGACCGTGCATAATAAACCGTGAATGACTGATTTACGGACAGGGACCAATGGAGATCATTGCAAAGACAAGGGCATAAATACAAAGAAACACCCGAGAAACAATGGACGCACATCCAGAATATAACTGTAAAACTTACTTTCAACTTCACTCTTTGAACACTCAAGACCTTATATCACAATAGACGTTTACACGTGTAGGAAATGTATCAAAAATTGAAAAAGTATCAGATGGTGTTTGTTTTGGGAGTGCTGCTTTCAGTTTCTAATGGTTAGTTTTAAGGCCCGACCCAGATTTTAATCCCAAATAATTGAAAATTCCTGCTGCACCGGGCTCGCAAAAGACCTGCTTCCCGCAGCTTTTTGACAGGCACATTAAAACCGTACTTCTGCGAATATCTATTAATGCACACTCCGTCACGCTGAAAGAAATACCAACACTTTTGTAAATCAAAAATCTAGACTGACATACCTCCGACCCGGTACATGTTGGCCGCCATTTCTGCCCTCCTGGAGCGTGAAAAAAATAAAAAGGGAAAATCATAAACTACAAAATAAAATAAAAATAAATAAAAGAGTACCTATATATAAATATACCGCAATGAAATGGCGTGGTGGGGGGTGGGGGGGTGGAACGAGACTTGAGCGGGAGAGAGATTTAAAACAACCCCCCCTCTCCCTGCATACAGTACAATACAGCAACAAACACGCCGAAAGGCTTCAGATCAGCTCCGAGCCCTGTTTCCTGGTGGGGGTGGAGGGATGTGGGGGATTGGCGGGGAGGGCACAGACGGAAGGCGGTGCCATAGTGGAGCTCCGGTGCTGCGTCCACTCACAAGCCGCAGTTGTTCAGCGCTGGGCAGGAGTCTTGATGAAGTGCCTCACGACGGAGGTTATTTCACGTACTGTGGGTACTTACTTCCACGGAAATACCCGAAGGCAACTGAGTAGAAGGGGTTTAAAAACACACACACACCATTCATACATACACTCGTTGTTTGGGCTTTGTCTTGTGTGTCTGTGCCATGTTTTATGGAATAAAGTTTTTAAGCATTAAAAACACATAGGTTACAAACCAGATGAGGCCTTTCCGTCCATTGTGGGTATTCTGCTGCTAAATTTGTGCCATCTCACCCTGCGGTTTCCTGAACCATACCTGGGGTTATGCATCAACAACATGGCTGGATCACCTGTTACACTCTCCTGCCGCCCTTTGTGTAAATAAATCTAAAATACTCTTGCTCTTTTTGCCATTCTGTTATACACTGCTGGAGAAGACTGTTGGGTTGCCTTAGTCAATCCCTTTCAGGAATTTGAATCCTTGAACCAAGTACCCTTGCATTAAACTCTGTTTATAGACTAAAAATATTCTGTTCCCTCAGTTTGCATATACACGGCTGTCTGTCTGTGCAGAACATGACATACCTCAAAAGTTATCCTGTAACCCGGTTGGGGTGTTAGGACATTTTGCGCACCCATGTGCATACGATTATGTAGCACTCTTTAAACTGTATCATTGCCATGTGAGTGTATTTAATGACCCTAATAAAGGTGTGTCTAGAATCCTGGATTTTTGTGAAAATTATTGAATTCAGATTAACAGAGAAAGGAAACTGAAAATCCCATGCCTAATAAAATACCACAGAAATAATGAGGAGGCAATAAGATAAACAGCTGGATTCAGCCTAAGCTTCACGATGACAGCCCTAATAAGGCCGTTCATTAATTAACCTGTTCAGATCACATCAGCAGGCTGTAATTGTTCTATCCGTAATCAATGTCTTTAATTAGACTGGAGTGCAGCAGAGATATGTCAATGGACTCAGTGGGAGACATGTTGCCAAGGGATTCTCCTGCATTCAAAGAGGTGCTAGGCAGCAGTTTTAGTTCCTCTCGATGTCATAACAATCAATGGCTGTATATTTCTATTAACGTCTACTGTATATGCAGAGATGAGGGTGGAACACTTCTAATCACAGCTTGGAGTGGCCCTGTTGTTAAAAGGCTGGCAGAACCCAATCAGATGCACAGATCCATTACCACTCAAACAGATTTGCTGGAAAGGGGATGGCTTGGGTCCTATTGGCAGCACGTTCTGCGACATTGCCTATGCTATTGCCTGTCTGTTTCTCAGTTAGAAAACAACATTGCTTTACAGAATTACAAGGGAAACTTAATTTCTTCTATGTCTAACAAATCTAAGATCATGTTTTAATTTAGGAGGTTGCAGCTGCCAGCTAAATCTTTTGGCCGAGACGATATTGTGTTGATCCAGTGATTTGGGTGTGTATGCAAGCTATCAGTGAACAGTACACTACAACAAGATTTCATATGAACACTGTGAATAAGACTTCAGCTGGAGCTGGTATGGTGAAGACAGTACATGTAGACAACTTAATGGTGACAGGTGACTAACAAAACAGAGAATAGAGTATACTTGACAAATTCAATTGGTTTGCTTAAGGCTTTACAGTCTTAAGGTTTTATATTACAAATGCACCTTATTTCTTATGGTTTTTTTTCTGTTTAATAAAATTCGATCTAAATATGTTAAAGAGATTGCTAGGTGTGAGTTCTTCACCATTTGGCTTTGAAAGAATGTTAAAATCCACGAGGCCCTCTAACATATCAGGAGACTGTATGTTTTATGGTCTGATTACTTTTTATTCTGTGTTCTGAGCTGTTTAGTTTTGAACGGTCCTGTCCATCGGCCCATGATGTCATACCTAAATGGCATTAAAAGGTATGCACCCATTCCTGCACTGTTGGAGCTCCATCCCTAGACTTACATATCTGGAACCTCCAGCATGTGGAAATACACCCATCAAATCAGTGGCCTCTTGCTTTCATAGGAAGAAAAATCCACTGAAAGAATCTGTTGTAGAACCAAGGGTTCTGTAATTTGCCAGTATAGTACTTTATTCACAACGGCCAAAGTGAACAAACAAATAATATTTCAATACATTACTGAATCCCATGGCCTCTGAATAATAGAACATGTGCTGTTTGAGTGCAGAACATTCAACGTGCTATCTTCAGTGCTTTCATCTTTTATTGAGAGGACTTTTGAAAAATTAATTGTTCAGTGATTTACCATTTCATAAGCACAGCAATTTGCAATAATATGCTAGTGTTTATTTTGATCACCTTGAAAGCTGCTCTGTATTTTACATATACAAAGTAAAATGCACTGCATTTGCCACTTTCTAATATTTATTGTTTAAAGAAAACTTAGAAAAGTCAAAATTAAAATATACATCCTTCATGAACAAAATGTAGAAATATAGAAAACAGTGACCAGATCTACTTTAAAATGAATATGGTCCACGTGTAAGTGTCAAAGAATTAAATAAGTCTGTTTGGAGTAGTTACACATTTATTGCAGCATGTATCATATATCACAGAACCCACACATAGAGACAACAAAAACCACAATCTATCTGAAAACAAAAAACTAAAGAAAACCCCTAGAAACACAGGATGAACATGCAAACTCCACACAGAAGGATGGCCACACAGGAATTGAGCCCAGGACTTAAGATCTGTATAGCAGCAGCACTAACCACCACACACTGTGATACTGTACACACCAATTCATCCACTTGTCTTGGTAAGCCTAGTGATACTACTGTACACTGAATCTAATCACCAGATAATAATAAGTAATAGTAAATAATACATCTCTAATCACAAAAAGTTAAATAGCTATATAACCCTGCAACCCACAACTGACCACTCACTTAAGCTCAGCAGGTGTGAACCTGGCCAATACCTGGATGGGAGACCTCCTGGGAAAGATAAGGTTACTGCTGGAAGAGGTGTTAGTGGGGCCAGTACAGGGGGCTCACCCTGTGGTCTGGGTCCTAATGCCCCAGTATAGTGAAGAGGACACTATACTGTGGGGAAAAAAGGCACCGTTCTTCAGATGAGATGTAAAACCGAGGTCCTGACTCTCTGTGGTCATTTAAAAGTCCAGGACGTTTCTTGAAAAGAGGGGGTGTGCCAAACTTCCCCCTGGTCTTTACCTACAATGGCCTCCTAATAATCCCTATCTATGAATTGGATTCATTACTGAGTTCAGTCATGTCCACTGAGTACTACTGTGAGGCAGGGGCGTAGCCACGGGTGGGCCTGGGCGCATACCCTTAGCGTTTACAGAGCTAAAATACATCCAAAGTATGTATGTGCGCTTTTATTAGCAGACCATTCTTGCAATTAAAGGTACGACTAATTGGTTAGCACTGTAATGCGACTATAACAATTCAGTGTCAAGTCTTTTAGGAAGTCACGGATTTCCAAATTAGGTGTCTTTTGGCATCGAAAATAGAATACTAATTTAATGGGTTTCATACACGTTTAAAAGCATCATGAAGGATCAAACAAGCCCATTTTCACTTGTTGCTTATAACAGTTCTAAGTATTTCTTATGCCCGCTTATAGATTGTTCAATAGTTTTACGAGTTACTCTGAAGTTAATATTTTGTTGCACCACACAATGAACACAACGCAAAACGCAAGATTCAAAATCCGTCCGAAATATTGTATTTAAAATACCATGCAGGGTTTACCTCGAGCTTCTTCTGGTATGTTATGCTCAAGTCCGCTGAATATTTAAAGGCAAGGTAAAAGCTCCGTGACGTTGGTCCCACTACAGACAGCACAAACGATGAAACCCACCTCATTCGTTAGTGCTACGTTTGTGCCTGTTGGTACCGTTGAAAGTAGCGTTTGTGCTGCTTTCGTTCCCGAGATAAAGCACCTTGTTTTTCCGCTGATCACGTGACCATGCACGGTGACTTTGACCTCCAGTGACCCCGTCTGCCGAGTTCAAGCGCGCTGTTACAGTTTAGCTCGTACCCTTAACATTTTAAAGACAATCAATATCCATAAACATATAGTCTCCTTAAAATAATGGCAACAAGTTAACCAATGACATAAACCTGTGGTTGTAATGTCTGTAAAATCACCGTGATTGTAAGATCTATGGTTTTTATTTTCTAAGGCACGTTTTCCTTTTCTTCCCCTACCTTGACACGCTTTTGCCAAACGCATAACTGTGGGACACCATCGCAACAAGACCTAGATAGGGACCCCATGCATATTGCATGTATATCGCGGCAGTGTATGTCACGACTGGCGCCTTGCTTCCATGCCACCCTGGCACGACTGTCGCAATAAAGGTATCAAATCAGGACATGATATACCCAGATAGGACATAACATAACGCATATCGCGATATGACATACCCCGGCAAAAATGCCCCGACCCATGTCGCGACATGAAAGGCTCTATATCGCGATATGAAATGTCCCGACAAAACGCCCACCCCCCATGTCGCGACATGGAGCTCATGTATCGCGATATGGGCGTGACAGTTTTGGTCATATCGCGATACATGAACTCCATGTCGCGACATGGGGGATAGGGCGTTTAGGCGGGGTATGCCATATCGCGATATGCGGGCTTCATGTCGCGACATGAGCGCGGGGGCGTTTGTCATATCGCGATATGCGGGCTTCATGTCGCGACATGAGCGCGGGGGCGTTTTGACGAGCCAATGTCATATCGCGATATATAGACTTCATGTCGCGATAGTGACCTGCCAGACGCAATGGGTATCGCGATGTGATTGTGATGCGCGCACTCCTATCGTGACATGCTGTCGGAGTCGTGAACGCGCTGTGGGTGCCATGACATTCTTTGTCTACTATTCAGTTTTGACCTCAGTGCGACTTCTCTTAGATTGATCAGTAATTGGAAACCAATGGATGTGTTACTGTATATCCAGCGTGCTCACACAGCACACACGGTTAACCGGGGCTACAGTATTTGGACCAAGAAGAACATCCATCACCTGTGTATCTACATGTTCTCGGAACTTCCGCTGTAGCGCTTTACCCAATCAGAGTGTCGATTCTCACTCTTCACCCAATCGCGGCCCGAGCTGTTCGGGGTTTAGCCAATCACGGGTCTGGGAGCTGTGCTTGAGCAGCGCCAGGTGGATCGGCTTGTTTGCTGTCAAGGAGAATCTATTTTTAAAATGCTTTACTTATTTGTAAAATAACTACATCGGCTTATTTTGTAAATGTCTTTATTCATTCACAATGTTCTGTACTCTTCGAAATAAATACATTTTTATTAACTGTCTGCGCTGCTTTCTGTAATGAATACATGGTATTTGAACAATTTTAATCGTATATCTAAGGTAGGGGAAACACCTTCTGCTTTGTACTTAAAAAATGAATAGAAATGTAAAGTCTATGATCATTATATTATTATGCTCGTGCTTTCAATGTTTTTATTGTTAAATTATATCGATCTTGAAACTATACCTGAAAATGTGAATATGGGCTCTCGTGTTTTACCAGCGGTAATGTGGAAACTGGTGTCTCTTCACCAATGAAAGGAGTACACAAGCAATACATTTTCGAGAACATGGTTAAAAATGAAAAGAAAACACCTAAACCAATGAACTAACATAGTAACTTCTCCCTAAATGTAAGACTGTTTATTCGCGCAAAGGCTGCAAAGTCTGGGGTCAACTGATCATAAGATCACAACTGAAAGGTGGTGGTCGTGACTTTACTGTTTTGCACGTCACACAGTGACGTCACAGTCAGGAAAAGAAGGCGCTATATTGAAATATTTTGAAACATCCACCCAACCCGACCAGACAGACTCGGAAAACAAATTGCCCCCATTGTTTTTATGACAATCAGGAGTTCAAGTACTGAGTTTGTTGCTACCTGTAAACAGCCTAGATAGTAGATAGTCACTTGATTACCCGAAAAAAACAAGGCACTATATCTCGGAAATGAAAGCAGCAAACAGAAGCTACTTACAGCGACACAAACCGGCACAAACGGAGCACTAACGATTGAGACCGGTCCGGTTCCCCTACGACGTTGTAGGAGGGGTTGAGTGATGTCACACACACCCGAAAAAGAAGGCGCTATATCTCGGGAAAGAAAGATGCTGGGAAGTTACTTTCAACGACACAAACGTAGCAATAACGAATGAGGTGGGTTTCATCGTTTGTGCTGTCTGTAGTGGGACCAACGTCACGGATTTTCTACCTTGCCTTTAAATATTCAGCGGACTTCAGCATAACATACCAGAAGAAGCTCAAGGTAAACCCTGCATGGTATTTTAAATACAATATTTCGGACGGATTTTGAATCTTGCGTTTTGCGTTGTGTTCATTGTGTGGTGCAACAAAATATTAACTTCAGAGTAACTCCTAAAACTACTGAAAAATCTAAAAGCAGGTATACGAAATACTTAGAACTGTGAAAATGAGCTCTAGCAGCTTTTCTTTAGATAAAGACAAAGTCCTCAAATGAGAGACCTTTGCAAACTAGCTGTCATTTGAAAGGGAATTTGCCGACTCTCTAGACAGTGACGAGATTATCGCCATATTCAATTCCAAGGCCAAAACCGCATAACAGAGGTAGGCACTTGATTGTTTTTTTGTGCGTGTCCGCCGTGGCACAGTAGCGTTCGGCAGCCTAGGTAATTGTTGCTTAACCTGTCTGTGTGAGAGAGAGAAACAGTATGTACAGTATACATATATAAGGTTCCGCTAATTCTGCTTTTGATTATACCACTCGAGAACTGCATTGTAAATTGGAGGGGTGCCCCCGTGCTGGCAGGACGGTCAGTTTGAGCCCGGGCCACCCACTTTTGCACAGACCCACCCAAAAATCAATTCCTGGCTACGCCCCTGCTGTGAGGAGAGCGTACTGGCAAACTATGGATGCAGTCGTGGATGCTACACGTTGGTTCCTGGAGGAGGGGAGTCCCCATTACCAGTAAAGCACTTCGAGTGGAGTGTCCAGAAAAGCGCTACATAAGTTTCAGTAATTATTAATTATTATTACATACAGTGCTCATTTGAAAAGGCGCCCTCTAGTGTTTATAATGATATTGTGTTGCAGATTTCCTTTGCTACCAACGGATTGTGCAACTGAGGTGCGTTTAATTGGGAGACACCACCTGTTCTTTCTGTAGATGATCTGTCCAGAGAGTTATCAGTCAGTTACAGGTCTGCTAGGGTTTGTCATGAGATTTGGCTTGAGAAAAATACGCCCGACTCCATAAGAGGGTTCAGATACCGTTAAAAAGTGACCGTGATTCTGTTTTATCGTAACATTTAAAGCATATAGGTCATTTAATTTCACAATTGGGAATATTGTCCAATGTGCTTTCGTCGCTGCATACTTCAATATATAATATTCACTCTATCTTTTGAGGGTCAGGTCATTCATTAGTACAGGCGACGTTGGGAGAAAAGTCCATTTGTATGGATATTTCTTTATTATGTCTATATCACCACTTATTGTGAAGCCCTTACCTGACGTGTAGTGCATAGTGACAGATTTAGTTCATCGCGCCTTCAAATAGAGCACAAATTGCCTTTCAACATTTCAGATAACCTTCTATAATCTATGAGACAATTACCCAGTGAAAATGAAATGTAATTTCACTGGACTTTTAATTTGAAACTAAAAGCACAATCAATGACCAATTTATTAGGAAGAAAAAGTGTGACTGGCACCTTAAACAGACTCAAAACGAACACTGCTACTAAACTTTAATAGTAGTAAGGGTAATGAAGAAACTGCTCACTATAGCATCAGTCAGGTCAGTTAAAAGCAAAATAACAGCTCATTAAAGCTGAAATACATGACGAATCGCTAAATATCATGTAGTCGAACGTGACGCACGACATGAATGTATTCACAGAACAGAATGCACTTTATATCGAGGACCCCTACATGTACTGATAACAGTCAATCTCACTCCACGGAAACCCCTTTCAGGACGATGTCGACTTGATTGCGCATGTCCGTGACTGGTCCCTAGTTAGATATTGTGTGAATCGTTTCATGGGGGGTCTCTGTGGGGGGCTTTCACTGCAATATCTTAGGCCGATTGTTGACCATTTTTAATCTGTTACAAGCTCACTGAATATTTTTTTGTTGTTTTTTCCCCCTTTTTCCCGCTGTTAAAAGATACACGAGAGCCGTAGCAGCAGCAACAATAAAATCCCCAACACATTCCATAATAATAATAATAATAATAATAATAATAGCTTACACTTATATAGCGCTATTCTGGACACTCCACTCGAAGCGCTTTACAGGTAATGGGGACTCCCCTCCACCACCACCAGTGTGCAGCCCCACCTGGATGATGCGACAGCAGCCACAGTGCGCCAGAACGCTCCCCACACACCAGCTCTCAGTGTGGAGGAGAGCAGAGTAATGAAACCAATTCATAATGTAGAACTTGATAGTACTGTAACGCTTCGGGGTTCACGTGCAGTACTATTTGTTTTTTTTTTTTCATACATACAACAAGTGAATGAACGAATGCCTTTGAAATTAAACGGGATGAAATGGAAACACATTATGGACAACAATCTGATGTTTATACAGGTCTATGTATTTAGTAGTCCATCTCAAACTCGGAGCGCATGAATAATTTATTATATAACAATATGGTAATCGATATTGTACAAAATCACAAGAGTTTATGACGGCATCCAGTTATCCCATTGTTTCCAAGGTGCATGAACCTCCTGGCAAGTTGAGCCACTCTTACTGTTGTGTGTGTATGTGTATGTGGGGGGGCGTGTCCATCTATGACATCACTCCTCGGAACTGCTGGCTATAGCTGAGCAGGAGCGAGCGAGAGGAACCACAACCCAGCCTTCCAGCAAGGAGTAACGCGAAAGCGCTCTGTTGAACTGACTTTACGATTTCAAATTAGCAAGCTAAGTGTCTATAGTAGGAGGCGGAAGAACATGAAATACTTTTTCCTGACCACCCTGACAGCTGAGCCTTGCCTGAAAACTTACATGGTGACCTGAAACTGGAACTTGGGAGACGGGGAAAAGTATGACGGTAAAGGTGTACGTTTCCACGGGAAAGAGTCCCCCCTCTTTTCACTCTCCGTAGAACTGGAGGGGGTCCTTCGCAGCTCATTGCATCGCTTTGCACTCTCTGCTCTAAAATGAAGTTTGGTAAAAGCATTTGCATTTTGAATGTGGGTGGCACCAAGTACGCGTTCCCCAGGGATGTAATAAAGGATTTCCCTCTGAGGAGAGTAAGTCGGCTGCACAGCTGCGTCTCGGAGAAAGAAGTGCTGGAAGTTTGCGATGACTACGACCGGGAAAGGAACGAGTTTTTCTTTGACAGGCACTCCGAAGCTTTCGGCTTCATCATGCTCTATGTCAAGTACGGGAAGCTCAGGTTCGTCCCGCAGATGTGCGAGCTGTCCTTCTATAACGAAATGATTTACTGGGGCCTGGAGAGCTCCCACCTGGAGTTCTGCTGCCAGAGGCGCCTGGATGAGAGGATGTCGGACACCTACACTTACTTCTCCGAAGAGGACACCAAAACGGAGGACGAACTCAGGGCCGAGGAGGAGCTGGAAAACCCGGCGGCCACTGGCAGAGGGAGCGCCAAGTGGCTAGAGAGAATGAGAAGGACCTTTGAGGAGCCTACTTCGTCCGTGGCCGCACAGATCCTGGCTTCTGTGTCCGTTATATTTGTCATTGTGTCCATGGTGATACTTTGCGCCAGCACTCTGCCGGACTGGAAAACCGCAGAGAACAACAGCGTGGAGGAGCACAGGTACACAGACAATTTAATGGATCCATCAGGGTATTTATATTTTATTTTATTTCATTACTATTTGTTTTTTAAGTCTCATTATACAGCAGCACCTTTCAATGTAGTTGTATATATATATAACTTTTAATCTATGCAGGTTCTAATCCCACATGTAAAATATTTAACAGATTTACATTATGTTTAATCCCACTCTTAGTTAATACACCTATGTGGGCTGCAGTTAAAAAAGGAAACATTCATAGACATTCATTGCACACGCAGGAGGGCAATATATCTATTTACATTGTGTTATTCAGCTAGTTAAGGCATTACTCATCCGAAAATGTCAGACAAATTATCAGAATAAGTTTGATTAAAATATCCACGATTTCCCGAAAATTACCACTGTATGTATTATGATCCACAGAAGAGTTACAATAGTTAAAATATATTTTACATCATGTAAGCAGTTGTATGAAAAACATGTATCAACATTTTTAGGATTCTCAGTCTCATGATTCAAATTGCATCAAAAGTAAAAATGAGTATAGCCTTATCAAATAACTGTTTAAAGAGACCGAGTGGTTCCTTAGCACGAGAAATTGAAGCTTTAGAAGTCTTGAATAGCGATAAATATGACATACATTCTTCACAATTACAATTACTGTTAACCATTTTTGGTCTTAGACTTCAAATCCTTAATTCACTTTATTTGTTTCCATAGGAATACACAACACATCTTAGAAAGACACACTGATTGTAAAATCTTGTGAATTTGTGTGTCATTTCAGTGTGTTTAAACGTTATATGCACTTCGAATAGTAAGCCATATTTACCCTTACATCATTGTCAAATGTCAATGTTCTGTTGTCTTTTCCTCTGTCGGAATTCACAACTGTTCTTTTATTTTTCAGAGTTTAAAATTACTGCATACAAAATCTGTACAAAGCAGAGTGGAACAAAATTTAAAAACTACAGTAAATAATCTTACTTTTGGTAGTTTTGCGGATAAAGATTCTTGACTCCTCGTGTGTGGTTTGCATAAACTTTTTTCTGATACGAAAAAGTCAGAAAATATTGATGCTTTAAAATGACATAAAATACATAACAGCCATTTGAATAAATGAATAAGCTGTACATTAATACCACTTGTGTTTTTCACTCGCTCTTCTTTGTTCTCGTGGTAAACACTTTCAGGTATAAAACACCTTGTAATTGTCTTTACTAATTAATTAGCTCATTTTGGAACATTACCCAGCACAGTCTTCAAAAGGAGATTTTGAATACGCTCATACCAACGTTAACGCAGTAAGGCAAGCGCTTTAGTTTTTAATTTATCCGCTTCCAGATACACATAAGCATTTTCTTTTTTAAAAAAAGAGAAAATACAGATAATAATATAGATTTAAATTTCACTCAGTACCGATTTGGCGCGCAATAGGATTTCCCTCGGGTATCCCTGAATTTAGTCAGAAGTTTATCCAGCAAGAGATCGATGCAAAACCCAGTAAGAGCTGAGTTAAAAAAAACAGAATTACGTTTGTAAACTAGAAGACGAATGAGGCCAGCACTCGAAGTTGTCGCAGCGATAATCTAGTCGATTCGGCTGTGGTCTGTAAATACATACTGTAAATAAGTTATCCTTTATGTCGACCCGCTCGAAACTAGATTGGCTGACCGAATGCGAAATGTGTGCAGGTGTCAACGAGTATCTGTTTCAGTCTATTGCTTGCTCGACGTTTCCATTATAGAAGCCTACTACTTTCCCCAAAGAACGAGTCAAAATCATTAAGCTGTCTCTTGTCTCGTAATTCATTTGGAATTCATCTGTGCTCAGCTTTTGTTTTCGAATATGCACAAACGAGAATAGTAGATTAGTTGTAATGATAATGGCTGACAGGTATTTGCTATTAAAGTGCACAAGTACAGAGATAAGAGGAGTTGTTATTTCATGATTGATTTGATAATCATTACAGTTACTACCACCGTCAAGGCACATGTAGTCCAAAGCAAATACTATTAGAAGACTTGTAGTGTTTGTCTCTCACAATGTACACCTTAACATCTGTAATAGTGTAGATCTAAAAAGCACTGATTATTTAAACGTGTTTTTAACAATACATTTGCATTTAAAAAAATTAACATTAGTTTACAATAAATCATTCTTGCTACATTAACAACTGTTTATTACTTTTAGTTGATATGAGCTAGATTGTGGAGCTGTGGTGGCTCAAATGGCAAGGGTGTCTGGCTCCTAACTGGAAGGCCCTGGGTTCAATCCCAGGTAGGGGCAAGTGCTGTACTGTAGCTTGCTCTAATTCCTTCCAGATGGCTCCCAGATCACAGCCTGCTTTCCAAGTGAGTAGTGGCAGTTAATTCTTCTGGAGTGTGATGATCACCTCCACCTCCAGTATTGGATGGTTGAGGAAAATGGTGTCCCTTGCTCCCCATTCCCCATGGGCCTTTATGGCCTGAAAAGGGGACCCTACAACCCAAGATAGATTATAAAATCTTATTTTTAATGTCCTGTTAAATTTAGTAACAAAAACAGTTCTCATGGCTTTTTTTTACTACAAGTTTCTGTAGCTGGTAATAATTGTTATCTTTAATATGGGAAAAGGATCTCTCAAGCTAAACACAAATGGTAAAGGCAGTCATTGTAACTGGTTAAAAAAAACTTCATCGACAAAGAAGAAATTCTTCACTTTCTGACTGGATCGTGTCAGGAATTACATTTTTAGTGTATAAAGCACTCTCAGCGTTGGGTGTCCTGTCTCAACTCACACGTCCAAGATTTATATTTTTATTGGAACTAATGCATTTTCATTTTTTTCTGCCTCTATCATATCTATTTAAAACACCGCCAGTAGCACGTTGCCTTCTACAATAGCACTGTTTCTTGTCAGAGCACTCTCCACCCAGATTGTTTTAACTCGTGTGTCTGTCTTGTTTTCATCGTCGTCACACGGGCCGATCACAGGTACCTGGAGGCTCCTGACCCCTCCTGTTTGATAGGTTGTAAGTTTGTGAGTGTGTACAATGGGGCACAGGTGAGCACAATGTAAGTTTACAGCCAATCACAGCACAAGAACACAGGCCAGGTGGAGGTACTGTAACACCTGGTGACTGGCTGGCCAGAAGGAAACTGGAGCGCCAGAAGGGTCAGGTTTGTGACTCATGGGAGAAGCATGAAGCTACAAATGTCAGCTTGCCGGAGTTCTACCCAAGGAATCAGAACCAGATTGCCTTAACCTTGGATTCTGTGTAGTCTATAGGGTAAATAAACAGTAGTTACTAGTTTGATATTGCTGAGAAAAAAGGTTAATATTTTATAAAGAACATTTCATCTAATATTTATTCAACAAATTCATGTATCAATACAGTTAAGATCCTAAATAAGAAAAGAAGAATGCATCTGTGAACTTTCTTTACTGATACAGATATTGTATAAAACCACATAAAAATACTAATGATTTATTAGGTGTAAATCATATGACGGACAACAGCAATTTGTATTTGAAGTTATATATGTATTTTATATAATTATATAAGTGTGATATACTGTATTTACAGTTTGCTCCCAATTCACTGAGAATCAAATCCTTGTTTGATATTATGGATTTGAATTGCGAATCAATGGGCCTGGACATTTGTTGGTGAATTGCTGATTCCCATGCTCCCCAGCCTTTAGCTTTCATACCATAGTATTGTGTTATTTTTCATCACTCGACGCTCAGTACTCGGTGTCACGGTCTCTGGTTTGAGATGATCACATGTCACAAATTTATGGGCTCATTTTACAATAAAGTGGTGCTAGTCACCAAAATAAGAAAAAAATCTGAGGAAAAAAAACTTCCATTTATCATTTAGGCTGGGTACTGAGCAGCAAGACGCTCAAATATTCTCAGTTTAATAGATGCATGGCTACAGAGAGGTTCATAATTTAAATATACGTTAAATATGATAAATACAACTGCCTAAAGTACAACAGTTATGTACGTATTATATACTGTACATACAGAAAAGTGCTCTTCAAAAATTTGGAAACATGGAGTACTAAGAGAGAGAACAGCATTATTCATTTTTCTTCTGTGTAATCTCTGGATTACATATAGAGATATAGAGCTCATTCTTGAATAGATACCAGGCAAAATGCAAGTTCATCTCAGATATATAGTGTTTGTCATAAGAGAATTATCATACTTTGCTGCCATTATATTAGACATCAATGTCTGTAAATCTTAAAGTAACAGAGGGAAAATCAGTTTAGGGAATGCAACATTCGAGAGAATCTCGAGATTACGGTAAAAAGAAAATGAACAGCTTTGTTCTTTCCCATGGCATATCCTCCACATGGTGTTTCCAGACTTTTCAATGGTACTGTACATGTATGCGTGCTTGTCATTTTCAGTTTGTATTAAGAATATTAAAACGACCTACTGTTGATAGACGTGTTGTTTAATCATGACAAAAGGTTAAAAGTAAAATGTGCCATTGTATTTGTCTTCCCTCAGTAAAGTTTTCTCCCGCTCTCTCTCTCTGTTGGCTGTGCTGGGCCTTACAGGATCATTGAGGCGGTGTGCATCGGGTGGTTCACAGCAGAATGCATTGTGCGCTTCATCGTGTCAAAGGACAAGTGTGAGTTTGTGCGGCGGCCCCTCAACATCATCGACCTCCTGGCCATCACACCTTACTACATCTCCGTGCTGATGACCGTGCTGACGGGCGAGAACTCCCAGCTGCAGCGTGCCGGTGTCACGCTGCGGGTGCTGCGCATGATGAGGATCTTCTGGGTCATCAAGCTGGCCCGCCACTTCCTGGGGCTGCAGACCCTGGGCTTGACGCTGAAGCGCTGCTACCGGGAGATGGTGATGCTGCTGGTATTCATCTGTGTGGCCATGGCCATCTTCGGAGCCCTGTCTCAGCTGCTGGAGCACGGCCTGGACCTGGAGATGGGCAATGAGGACTACGCCAGCATCCCCGCTGCCTGCTGGTGGGTTATTATCTCCATGACCACCGTTGGCTATGGAGACATGTACCCCATCACCATGCCTGGGAGGGTGCTAGGAGGCGTCTGTGTGGTCAGCGGAATTGTGCTCCTGGCACTGCCCATCACCTTCATCTACCACAGCTTCGTCCAGTGCTATCATGAACTCAAGTTCCGCTCTGCCCGCTGTAGTCGGAGCCTGTCCGCCGAATTCTTAAACTGACCAACTACACCACCGCCCTCCTTCTGCCTACGTTCTAGCCCTCGTTTACCCATTGAGTCATTGAGTCATTCTCCTGTTTTCGTTTGTCGTTCAGCAGCATCAAGGACAGACATATTCCAGATGCAGACGCAACTTTGCCTTTAGTTTCTAAAGCTTTTTGAGCTGTTTCCTCCAGTCTTTCTTCCTGGGGGCTGAGAATAAGACCTGAGGACATGCCATCAGTGGTCAATCGAATTCTCTTGAGTTTAGGCTTTGTTGTAGGAAATCCACAAAATGTCAGCACTCAGAATGGAAGAATACAATGTACAAAAACAGAATGGAAGATATTGAGTGGGCAACCAGAGAAACACAGTTCACTTTTTTTGGCCTTAAATTTGACTGTGTGGTAGCAAGCCACAGTGATGGAAATGATCATTTCAGCAATAGTGCTGGAATTGGTAGAAAGTAAGGATCAGACATGAACCATTTTGAAGACTGTTCCTTGATTTAGTTCCTAAATTTCTTGATTTAAATATAACAAACTTTGGGGGTTTCAGATGTGATGTTCACAATGCCCTGACATGCTTAATAATCTGAATAAGGCTACAAAGACCACAGATTTTAAATCTCCTGTCCTTTTTCTGTTTTAACAAGGTATGCACTAAAGAGTCCTGGAACTGCCTGGTATCAGCTGCATGCAATAGGGAGAAGATGATTGGGCTATTTTGTGTCCACTGATAAAGGTTTTTACTTCAAAGTACATCTTGTACAAATCTTTGTGAAGAGAAAAAAAATACTAAGTGTCAGACTTATGGAAGAGCAACCTCTGAAAGTGAGAGCAATCAGAGATATCTAATTTTTAACATAATGTCTAAACCAATTTTTCTTTTCTCAGAGGAAGGTGCTAGTGACACTTTGGAGCAAAGATCTTTACCTATCTTAGCATGCCTGAAAATTTGACGTGCCACACAATCTACTCTCTCTTGCAGTGCCAGCTGTAGTGATTCATTGATCTGCCTGCTTTGCCTGGTATCTATTTTTTTATTTAATAGCCTGGATTGATTAAGCAATTCCCTCTACATTTTGTCTGTCAACACAATGGAACACGCTTCAGCGTTCCACTGCTAATGAGATATCACAATCTTCTGTCAACAAAAAAATAATGTGATCACTGATGTTCTTCAAGCCCACAACGTAAAACCTGTATACAATGTAAACTGGAAGGTTCCACACAGCAACAGTAAGCCACAGGGAAAACGATGGCATGACTGACACCTTGCAACCAAAGGGGCAATATTGAGATTCACAATAGATTCACAATAAATGGCCCTTTTGGCTTTTTCCTCAAGGGCTGTGTTTTCTGAGGTCTGCATACCAAAGTGAAATACAAACATGTCCTTCAGGAAGAAAATACAAGATTAAGGATACAGGTTCATTTTCTTCACAGAGAGATGTGATTTTTTTTTTGGTATGACGATTTTGAAACACAATCCGCAAGGTACCGGCTATACCACCCTATTTCCCTGCGTCTTACTGCCACTGCCATGGTCACAAGACACACTCACTTCTCGTCTTTGAGTCCTTCAAACTGGTTGCTTTTGAAGGAAAAAAAAACCATTACAGGTATGCAGCAGGAACAAGATCTGAACATTGTAAAACATGTTGTCATTATTCTTGAAGAGTCCCTGTACCATAGTGTGCGCGGGCAGGGGGCGGTTGAGCAGGGACTTTAGTGATGAAGGTTACATCATTGACACATCAAGACTGATGATATGGTTAGGGGTCTGTTATCTCATCCTTTTTATTGGCTGTTACCTGCAAGAGTACAAAGTCATTCTTACATTTGGAAGACTACATAAGTGCTGGCGTAAGTTTCCATATCAGGGAGTGGTTGAATTCACACTAGGGTCTCATTACATGATTTAGCTGATCCGGTTGGTAGGGATTCTTCATTTCTCCACTACTTAATATGTCAGGTTAAGTCAGTGCCATATTAAATACAATGGAGAGTGAGGTTAAAAATATTCAGAGGAATGTGGCTATAAAGTATACCCCTGTTGTAACCTCTTACAGATGCTGTATTATTTATTTTATTAATTTTATTTTAGAAGATATGCTGACTTTCAATAAAGGTTTTCATTAATCTTAAATTACAAGAAATATACATTTGTAGTGGGTTTGCTTCAAATAAATATATATATTTTAAAATATTAATGCTATATAAGATTTATAATTATAATAATAGACTTTCACCACCCAGTGTTTTAATAAACCTTTCTGTTGGTAAAGTGAAATGAAACAATACTCTGGTGCACTCTTGTAAAAAAAAAAAGCATCTACCTTTTCCAGGACTGAACTCTGATTGCTTTTTCACCAACAGTCTTCTATGGATTTTGTAGTATACAGTATATGTAAATTCAGGAAATTAAAACTACCTAAGAAAATTAAATTTGTGCAAACTATGAGAAAAATAAATCAGCTTGTTCGTTTTGGTTTGCTTAGGTTTTGAATTGTGTTAGATATTGAACAATGTTTTTGTAAACAGGCTCATCAGAGGTTCACTTACATTTTGTGTCTAGGCTTAAGCTTAAACAGCATCAAGGAATGTACTGTGCTATGGTCCATGCAGAGTTCCTGGAGATTCTGTTGAAGACTTTTAGTGGCTTGGCTATGTCACAATTATTTAGCACTTTTAGCACTGTGTTCAACTCCATGCTCGATTTTATATTAATGTAGCAACAATATTTTTCTCTCTAACAATACAGGATCAGGGCATAATGTCTCTTTGTTTACTGATGTGACCTGATTTCACTTAAGTAGGGCTAGTAATCCAGTAGAATAACAGCACTCGGCGCCTACAATATCATAAGAGTACGGAGTCCTTCCTGTGCCTGCGTGCCTGCCACAGAGGAGCTTGGCAACAGGGAGATTGGCCGAGCTCTGATGATACTGTGGGGGTGAGCTGCTGTTAGTCTATATTAATCTGAAGCACAGCTGCTCTTAAGAAATCTGGTTGTGCTTTACACAGCTAATAGTGTAATTTACTGTGTCCTTGTTAGAGTTAGATATTCCCCATATCCACAGTTAGTGTAAAACAAAAGCAAAGATTCTTGCAAGACTTTCAAAGACATTTAAATTCAATTAAAACATCCATAAATCCACCAACTGCAAATTCCAGACCCAATACTTTAGTTTGCTGTGATTTCTGTGAACTTGCATCTATGCATCACAAAGCTGCCATTAGGTACTGGGTTTTAATTTTACAATTAGAGGTGAGTCACATTATTGATTTAATCTGGTTATTAGGAAATAGAAACAGTGGCCATTTCAACCATTGCTCAAATTATCATACAATGCCAAATGGATTTTTATAAACATCCTTGGACAAAAATATCTTATATTCACACAATGAAGGCCATGCACTCAGCCTGCCTGAACATTAATCAACATTTTCCATGTTTAATGGCTGCCAGCATTCATTATGTGTGATGATAATGCGCTTGGAGAATCTTTGCAGGTCTAATCACAGCTAAGGTGTGGGAGCATACACACTGTGGAGATCAACACCTACTGTGTCAGCCAGGTCTGACTCCAAGCAAAAAGACATGCTCACAACACATCAGTATGCCACACACTGCGCATTATAATTGTACTGCTTTAACAACTCATCAGAGATGGTAAGAGGAAGCTGCAGAATGAGTGTACCACATACAATAAAAAACAGATGACAGCTAAATTATAAAAACCTCTTTATCTTGCAGCAGCATCTTAATGGTTTACATTTTCCTCTTGATTCGATCCCTGAATAATGTAGAAATGAAACAGAGAGGGACATTTTCAATGGCTCTTATTTAAAATATATTTTAAAACAGAATACATTTACTACCCCCCAAAAAACATAGGGCTTTAACACAGGCTAATACTTAAATGGCGATGTAAGCCGTCGGGGTTACACACTTGCACTTCATTGATGAAGCATCCAGAAGTTATGTTGAATAAAACAGTGTTACCATCTGGCTCGATGACCTGAATCATAATCCAAAGGTGATATCATGATGTTCAATGGAAAGTTACAAATATTTTCTTTGTGAGTCAGAAAAATCTAAAAAGAAAACGATGAATTGTATAAGTAAGTCAAAATAGTGTAACAATGCAGTAGGTCTGGGTTGTTTGAACAATCACGTAATCCGAACAGGCTTGCTCGTAATTAAATGCTCATGCACACTGCCCCCTGTGGAGTGTTTGTGGAATCATTTAACATTTAATCTATCAATTGACTAAATAAAAAGCATTTAGTAATCAATCATTAGGTTTTGTAATTAAATCCAGCAAGACCTAATTCTATTCCAAACAGAGTTTAAATCACACTGCACTGGGAATGCTATTGACCAGAAGAAAGCAGGTTATTGTTCTTATTAGCCTAACTATAAAAAATGCCTATACCATCAATTTTTAACATGTATCTATTTTCATTTAGAATAAGTGATTAAAAGCAAGTCCAATATGGTCCAAATGGTGAAATAAACATGAATAATGAGATTTTCTTGCAGCATTCCTGAAAATATTTTATTTTTTTAGCACCTGAATATCTAGAAATGTCATCTGATTAGATTTATTATTTTATTGTCCAATCCTAGCCCTTTTTTCTGTTTTATTATGAAATGCATCTTGTTTCACTTGGGTCTAAAACTCACAAATCTTCTCCTGCTGCCTTTGCTTTCATATCTAAGGTGTTGCTGTGCTTATGTTATCTGAAGCAGAATACTATACTGCAGAATATCCATATTGGTCCAATGTTATTAAAGACCTTCCTATTCTGAAAAAAAACACAACCAGGAAGATACAGGATGCACATTCCACCTTTAATACGTGGGGAAAATCGTATAATCCTCCATGTCCTTTAAAGCTGTGTCCTTTCAAATAGACTTTCGGATGACTCTCCTTTATGTGGATTAATTTTGAAAAGGCCTGGAACTGTGGACAGGAGACTACTTTTTATAAGCCAAAAGGTTGTTGTAAATTTATAAGGAAGCTGCAAAGGCAGATTTATCCTGGACATCCCAATCTTTTATACAAACCACACCATATTAAAGAAACATTTAGACATGTATTGAACACAATTCTGCATCATCAAATTTATGGAAGGTAATTTTGAGATTAACCATTCAGGTTACAAGCTACTTCAGTTTCATATGAACAATATGGCTAACACAATATGCAGAACAAATGGCATTTTGGTGTGATGTCCTTGATAAAACAAGGCCCTTTCTTTGTTTCAGTATTCTGGTAGCTGATGGGAATTTAAATTATGTTTGTTGTATAGAAATAGAATTTTGTACATTATGTACTTTTTTTCTGATAAAATGTGTACAGTAAAAAGCACTGGTAATAGAATCACAAGCTGTGTTTGTGGCAGAACGCTGCTGAGAAATGATGAATTTCTGTGCTTTTCCTTTTGAAATATGAAATCCTGTAGAAAATTGATATTCCAAGACAGCTTTTTGGTTTTTCTAGTAAATAATCTGCTTCAATAGAAATCTTATTTTCAATATGGGGATCAAATTTCTGTTGTGTAAAATGTGACTGCAATTTCCGCAGAACCCTTTTGTTCATTAGCAGATAAGAAAGTTTCTAGTTTTTAATTTTATATAACATCTATTTTATATATTGCTTAGGTTTCCAGATAGAATGGCTATATGGCTCAAAATATTTGAATATAAATAAAACAAAATGCTTCTCAAGTTCTGTCTTGGTGACTATATTTGGAATGACAATTGCAGATTTCAACAAGGCAGATCCAAATCTGGATTCTACAAGTATGAAATGTCTAGCATGCTGCCATAGTAAACGCAAGTGGTCGTTTCCAGGTTTTCTGTCAGCACTATGATCCAATATACACAGTCCTGTGAGACCAACTGTTAAAAGGAAGTCCAGTCTGGGAAGATCAGAGGCATGTTTTCACTGTCAAGCTTTGACTGCTGACATTTAAAGGTTTAAAAACACCAGTGTGTAGCGGAGGTTTGATATTTCTATATCCCCTCTTCTCGGGATTCACTCAGGCTGACTTTAATCTTTAAAGCTTGAAATCTTTCCACCTCGTTAATTATTATTTTATTTATGTTTATGGACAATTATTGTCCATGTCTTTCACACTTTCAAATATCTAGCAGCATGGGAATGCCAAGTTAACTCCGTGTCTTCGTGTCAGAATCTAATCAGGTTACCTTGGCCAAAGGTTGCTGTATGAAACAGAATTAGAAAGCAGGAAAGATATTTGAGAGGATTCCAAGTGTCTTTCTAAGCAGTTTCTAGATCGTGTCAGTGAGTACAAGTAACACACAGCAAACACCAAACCACAAAGATGCTGCACAGGTCTCTAGATTTCTAGTTGCTTACAGTCGTTCTTTAATTCTACAAAAACATACATTTAAGAAGTAAGTTGATGTCGTATAGAGGTTTCCAAAATAATAGTTACTCCTTCCTTTATAATTCAACTTTTACTTAGCACAACCAATACCTATAATTTACAGGTCTGTGTATTTTTTCTACCTTTTAGTATCCGCCTTCTTTCTGTGCGAGGCAAACGCCAAATGTACTTCAAATTCATTTTAAATAACTGAAAAGGACTTATATCTGCATGTGTTTGAGGCGATCTCCAGACGTTTAACTCAGGCAATCTTGAATAAATGCATTCATCTTCTTTCACCTTATGTCTGAAATTGTTTCACGCCGAGATCAGACCCTCGTCAAAGGGCAGTTCAGGCTACTTTATACCGTTAACAGTTTCACCACAAGGCGGATAAGCACGAAAGAAGTCGTTGAACAGAATAGGGATAAATAGCAAGAGCAACTTCCCTCTATAAAGAACTATGTATGCCTAGCCAAGGGTTTGACTGCAGATTTGTTTTGTGGACAATATTTCAATCAGTTTGTATTCCAGTTAAATAGCATATGTTCAATCAGATACGATTCAATTAGAAAACTTTCTTCATTAAAAACGTTCCATGGGGACATACCTCGCTCTAACATTTAACGTAATTTTTAAACTAATCATATTTATTTAACAAAATCGCCTAGTTCATACAGAGCTGATAAAATGACCAATTATTTTTTTTATTTAAACAATCTATATTCTATATCAATCGACACAACATACAAACAGCTCACTAAATACTGTCTGGCCTAGTAATGACGGCTCAATAGTATCAGGTAGTTTTGCCTGAGTGAAAAAAGTAAAAATAATTTTAATTAAAAATAAAGTAACGCGTGATTAATTTTAAATAAACAAAACAAATAATTTCGTTATGTCTAAAAGTAAAATATAATCAGTGAAGCGATGTGCAGGCTACAAAATGTTCTTGGTTTTTCAATCAGGCAGGCGAGGCCAGCTCACAACGTCACTAGTGTGTGACAGCTCCAGAGGGTCGACCCTACGCCGGTCGCTGAGTGTAGTTGGCTTGTGGTGGAGGATCACGCACCTCTGTATTTTGCAATAAAAGTGTAAAATGTATTACAAATTTAGTGGATTCACACAAAGGCTAACGGGAGCGGCACCGGCAACAGCCTACAGCCCCCAGGTAAGTGTAAATCAGGTTATTGTAAAGTCAGAAAGGCGAGGTTACAAGGGTAGCAGTGACCTTCACAGAGGCCAAGTGTGAGGATTATGAATGAAAAATGTCCAGTTAACCACTTTCTTTATAATGATGACGATGCACGACTTCACCGGTTCACCGTGGATTATCATGGCAACTGTTTCTTGATTTTGATCAAAGATATGGACGGTATTGTAATTGTACAGAGGTAGTCATTTCCTGGCTTTGGTTTTCATTCCATCTCAGAATTAAATGACTTAATCTAGTTAATTAAGTGGATACGAAGTAACACCTGATCATTTGTAGGTTGGAATCAGGTGCTAATAGAACTTAAAACCAGAAAAAAGCTTGTACTGGAAGAATAGGTTGCCTATCCCCGTTTAGTATGCAGCTATATATGGAATCGTAATGTACAAATCCTTAACATATTTCATTTTCTGTCAATGTATTCTTCAGTGGAAATTTACACCAGGGCAGAACATGGTTTGCTTAATGTTTTTCACATTGTGATCTAAACAAATTCAGTGTGTTTACGATATGTATTTGATGTTTTTGGATTAGACGTTTTTGCCGTGGTGCTGTAGGACAATACTCCCTGGGACGTTAAAGGACATCAATATCAAGTGGTTTACTTTTTGTATTTTATACGGATATTGTGTCTTCTGGTCTTAATCTTAATCGAATACGCCTGTAAAACATTACTATGATGATAAATTCAGCCCATGAAAACTCATTGTGGCATTAATAGTAAGACCAGTGCCCTTCACCTCTCAGATTACCCTGGAAGGACGTTGCGTTGCTGTGATGAAAAAGCACCCGCGATTCAGCCACAACTTGATTGAAATGAGTTGAATGCAGGGAGAGTTTAAAAACAGTATGATTAAAGTCAGTGTCACAGTAGTAATCTCAATTAGACCACAGGAAGCAAGTAGTACAATTGTAGAGTCATGATTCCTGTAGAAATACAGGACTTATTTCATTCAAAAAGATCTTTTAAAAGTGTCACTTTAAGAACCCAAAACACTTTACGAGTTCGCAACTTGAATGGTCTACAGTGACTTAAATAAATTCCTTTGACTAAACGTTTACATTTCCGATCCTTTTGCAAGACATCTTCAGAAATATGTAAGTCTTTTCAGCACCGTAATGGGTTGGTTCTTCACAATGTATCAACATATTAGAGTAAATGTACCTGAGAGACAGTTTACCATTGCTAATCCTCTGCGGAGTCATAAATGCTCAGCTTCTCTTTCTGATCAAGTGGAATTCTAGCAAGGCATTGATTCAGCTGGGAGCTTGTTTCTCTAAACTGTAAATAGTGCTTGACAGGAGCTGGGGAGTATTGTTAAGCAAACAAAGTTGTTTGGCAAGGTGACCTTGGCTCCTGACAGCAGTGATGTGTGGAGCTGGGTGCTGGCAGGTACAGGGAGTGCAGGGGTGAAGGAGGAGAGGACACACAATCCAGCACAATCCAACCTTTTTACATCCCAAATGTTCACAGCAGTCAAGGACAAATTTTATTGAACATTTCAAATATTCAGTGACATTTCAAAAGTTTCTTCTTTAGATATAATAGACTAAAAGACTTTTGAAAAAGAAAAACTTTGCTGGAGAAAAGCAAAAGGTAAAGGTGAACCATAGTTCAAATCATCCCACTAATGTTGTATTTAGCATAGCCTATATAGAATAGTCCATTATTATAAAGGTCATTCCGTTGTAGCTGAGGCTACAGGCCTATTGATATTCAGACTGTGACTTAGAGGAAAGAGTCTGAATAAAGTCTGTGAGGTTAGGACTTAATCCACCCATCTAAAGGTTGTATAATCTGTCACTGTGGCTGAGTAGCCACAGTGTGTTAGTTGATGATAAAACCTTGTCATTTTTTGTATGATTTTCAAAAGAATGGAAATTGTAGTGTCAGAGTGCCGTAACTCAAAGAATTAGTTGAATACAGCAGTGATAATCTATATGTATAGTTTCTCTTTTCATGCCGACAATGAAGGATGTTGTCTTACAGGGGCTGAGACCAGCTGTACCAGCAGAACCCCCGCCCATGATCTTCGCCACCCCAACCAGAATTGTGTCCGAGTCGGGAGAAGCTGGCCAGTTCCTCGGTGCCAACAGAGTTCCTGATCTCCAGAAGTTATTTCAGGTAAAAAAAATCTCGTTCTGCTCTCAGGCAGGCATTATTAGAATGATAGTTCAGGTGGGTAGCTGCGTCAGCATGCGTAGGCTGCAAAGGAACAAGTAACGGGTTTATTCCATGCTGAAAAAAAGAAGAAAGAGAACACAACGTTTCGGGCGTGGAGCCTTCTTCAGGTGTGAGGGCCTTCTTCCTCACACCTGAAGAAGGCTCCACGGCCGAAACGTTGTGTTCTCTTTCTTCTTTTTTTCAGCATGGAATAAACCTATTACTTGTTCCATTATTAGAATGATTGCAAATGAGAGTAGGCCATTTTGCTCGTTACATTATTTTTTGAGTATCTGTTCCAGCCTTTTTTTTTTTGTAGGATCCCAGTGAATCTGCCTTAACAGTATGACTGGATATTTTATTGCAGACAGGGAACTTCTTAGTCTTTTTTTCTTTTTTCACTCTCTTGGTCACTAGAGAGAGGTCTCTTTATACATTTCTCTTCTGTTTTCAGAGGCACTACAACTATAAATTAGATGATTCTGTTTTGAAAATGTCATGTCCTGTATGTGTAGGCTTATTAACATGTTTTTGCTGCATACAATATATTGTGTAATATACTGTGATATAATATTGTATGTTAATCTGCTTGTTTAAACCTGTTAACTATTTAACACATCAGGGTGCTTTATGTTTTTCACCTGTTAAAAAAAGATCTTCAATGATACAATGGGAAATTAAGAATATTTGTAAAGAGCAAGATAATCTCTTATTTAAAACATCCTTTTTTAACAAATGCGTGACAGTATATAGAAAGGTTATGGAAATCTGTTGTATTTTGCTTGGTATTTGGTGATAGTATTAAAATAGATTAACTAGATAATAGAAGAGGCTGAGTATGTGGTCAGAGGGCAATACTCAGAATGAATACTCGATGTCTTGTGAATAAGCATCTGTTTAAGTGCACAGAATTGCAATATTCTGTATTTGGGTCACCATGTTGTAATGGGGTTTCTAAAATCACAATGTCTTGCTTTGTCTCATGTCTTCAGAGTGGGTTTGTGGTACTTTCCTACGGTTTGGTTTTTCTATATTGTTAGAGCACAACTACCCTGTCATTTAGGATTAAAAGTGTGTAATGAAGAAAACAATAGATGACAGTTGTTGCTTTAAATGGATAAGCTTTCCACTGGAGCATACATGCAAATAAGCATTTAATTGCACTTGTGAATATGACAATAAACTGAACTGACCTATCCCACCAGAGTAATAACACAAGGTGACAAAATCAGTTTAAAATGACCAACTTCAAATATCAATCTCATTGTTTTTTAACAGAGACACAAATGTGACTGAAGTTGGGGACTTCTTGTGTTTTTTGTTTTGGGGACTGTAATATATTAATAACTACAGGTAAAATGGAAGACATCAACTGCAAGATTCAAGATTTTAACTGACTAAAAACCAAGTTTCGTGTTTGAACTGAAATCATGAAGCAGCTCAGAGCTCTCCTGCTGATGCCCACACTCTCTCCCCAGAGGTCTGACGGGGTGCCGGTACACCTGAAGAGGGGAATGCCTGACAAGCTGCTGTACCGCACCACCATGGCTCTCACGATAGGAGGAACCCTGTACTGCCTCATTGCTCTCTACATGGCCTCCCAGCCCAGGAAGAAGTGAATGCTGTCTTCCTGACCGTCCTCTCATCCGGTGTTAATAAAACCCCTAATGACAATGACACTGTACAGGAATCCCAATCAACGACAACCTCGTTTCCATGATTAGCCTGTTAATATTGTATATAACCCCACTTCTTTAGAGCCAGTTGTTTTTCTGCCATTTATTTTTCCCTTCTGACAGCTTTTGTTTTCAGTTCCAGAGGGCATCCTTTAAAAACCCAGGTGAATGGCAGAACAATTCTGATTGCCTTGATTAGTGTTATTATGGTGTTATGGTTGCCTGCGTGGAGCTGTGAAAAGGCACTAATGGCAAGTCCTTTCCTCTTAGTCAGGCATCACTGAAAGGGATCTTGATGTTGGTGGGTTTGTTAAGGCAGGTACCATTGTTTGTGTTTAAAAGCAAATGTCTAGGGAAAATGCCCATTCACATTATGGTTTTGAACAGCCTCTTAACCCCAAGAAGCCATTACATTTAAATATTATAGCAGGGTCAAGTACAATGTTAACTACCACAATTATAAAAGATAAGTTTTTGTTTTCCTTACCCTCTCAGCCTTTCAGACTACTTCACATTGAAATGAGCTGTTTATAATGTGAACACTTGAACCTGAAATTAACAGAACCCAAGGAGAAATCGATGTGGCAGTCACCATGGTATGCAGGGATCAATTCACATTACAGTCCGTGTTCTTATGCAAGCAGTGTGTTGTTGTGTCTAGCAATGGATGGTTCACCTTTTGCATTTTGCAGATGTTCTGATGTATTTTGGATTGATAAATGGTTTGGGACTACAAAATGTTATATTCAGCATGTTAACTAATGGCTGCAAGAAGAAATCACTCGACTTGAGAGATAGAAAATTAAAAGATTTATTGTCAAAAGGGTTTAGGTTTTCTTTAAAAAGCCAAAGGCAATCATAAACAGCGATATGGCTTAGCAGCCAAAAATTGAATTCTTCATGTTAAAGTGTATGTAATATTACATTGTTGCCACTGATTCTTACAATAATTAATTCCACTTATTGTACAATAATGAGTGAGCTGCTGTAGAATAAAGGTGTCCGGATCTGTGTTATACTGTGACTATATCGTAGGATGCTTCTCTTGCATCCATGTCTTTTTGGGGAGAGTAAATTTATTTTTAAAGGCACATTTGTACAATAGTTTATTTTACTCTTTGGTTTAAAATATTGCAATAAAAATACATGTAGTGAATGAGTTCCTAATGCTTAATTTGCTGTAGTTTATTATGTATACAGTGTTCTGTATTTGCATAATTTACTACAACATCCCTTCCTTTAATCAATTAACAGGTATTAGATCTTCACTAGATCACTTGACGAAAATGGTTATTACCCACAAGATGTAAGATGTTCACCATTGCTGAGTATTTTTTTAGATATTGTAATAGTCATTATTAAACACCATAGATATCTCCATTCTTTCATCTCATTCATCAGCTGGCGAAAATAAATGTATGACTGTGCATGCAGATGAGTTGCCACACTGTATGACTGCAACAGGTTAAATTAAACAGGCTCTGGGATTAGTGATCAGTGTTGCCTGTAAACTGTGTTTGAGGGATTGATGAGGTACAACACTGCTGTTGAGAAGTTAAATGAAAAGCAGCTCGGCTTGATTTTTTTAGAAATTTTGTGTTTTGAAAAGGGAAACCAAATTGATCAAAGTTTAAAGAAACACCACATGCTAAAAGATAAATGCAGAAAAGGTGGAACATTGCAAGCAGTAAAGTCCATGATAAACCATTCCATGTTTTGTAAAACAGGTTAGGCATTGGTGTGGTGTATCAATAGTTACAGGAATACACCTTTGAACCAGAAGTTATCATTTATCTGACTGCAACCTGAACATTTGTGTTTGGTTGATGTTATTATATTATTTGTGTTTTAAACATTTTGCCATATTTGTGTGCAAATAACAAGAAAATCTTGATGAAATAAAATCCAAAAATAGGTTTGTATCTCCACAGAGAAGGTGGGTTATTTCTACATAAGACTGAGAACCTGTCATGTCTACGTTTTCCACTTGTGTAGTTACCTTGACCTCTGTCTGTTTGCCCTGTGACCTTGAGTGGGTGTTCCTTAGGGGCAGAAATGTAGAGTCTGAGTGTTGACACATGCTGTCCCTTAGGAGACTGGTTCATACAGTTTTCCCTGCTTTGTGAAACAAAGCATACCCCCTCAAGCTTAGAGGAGTGCTGAATGTCAATGGAGGATCACAGGTTTTATTTATAATGAGAGCCATCCACACAGAGAACTAAATTAAGCAATTGCTTATTTAGTTTCTTCACTGCTATGCGATGGGCCCTTCAGTCTGTGTTCTTTTTCAGCGTTTTGTTTGCATTATTTTTTCTCTAGAATATACGGGTTAGGAAAATAATTATGATGTCTAAATTAATTACAGCTAAATTTACATTTTCTTCCTTCTTCAAATTCTCTTCAGTTTTTTTCAAATTATTTTCTTAACAAAAATAAAATCATGCCAGATTATCTAAACTACTTCCTTGTACTACATTTTTTCCTGTCATTTGGAGGAAGGCAGAAACTGCAAACACCAGTGGTCTGATGTTGTTTTAGATCATTTTGAAAAAAACATTAGTGTATTGCTGCACAGAGTGTCAGAAATTGGTTACATCAATAAATCTTTCACTTAAAATATGAAAGAGAACAATGCTTCAAAAAACAAGTTGCAATTCAGATGAACCTGACGGAATTAGAGGCGAGTTTAGCCTGGTGAATAATCTTGCAATTTTTCTGTAATAATTAAAGGCATTTATCAGTGTGGCAAACCAACGATGATGCATGGACAAAAAACAACCCTATTGGTATAGAAAGAGCTTTTAAGTGTTATAAAACTGAGAGAATGTGAAGGGCTTTCATAAAGAGGTAATGCACTACATTTGACAAGAACAATAGATTGCGTTATAAAGTAAAATGGTATGCAATAGAAATCCATCCATCCATCTCGCATGAGGTACTTTAAAATAGTAGTACAGTGAAAAGGGTGTTTAATCCGCATCCAGTTTTGGAAATTGGAACCTCTAAGCTGAAGTGTTCTTAAAGAACTACAGACAACAACATCCAGGAATTGAATGCAGTGGGAATGCTTGTTATACTTAGTGTGAAGAGTTCAGCTTATCCCACTTGGTCAATGGAGAGCTCCTGGCCACAGGAGGAGGAGACTCAAGCCCTGTTCAGACTGAGAACCAAGGGGAAGCTGTAAGGTGGAGATAGAGCAGAGGAAAATGTTTGAGACAAATGCCAAGGGAGGTGTTTGAGTTCGGTATATGTAGCTAATCTCCTAATAAAGGTGAGTAAGTGCAGCGGTGTGAGAGAGATTCGTCATTGTTACCCCTCCTGAACTTCTGTTAATAACTTCCATTTAGAAAGCCAAAACTTAGCACACGTTATTAGAGTTATTGTCAAATTATTGAAGTAAGATAGGCTAATCAATGAACATAAGTATGTGACCATTCTGTATTGTAATTATACAAATAATTTTCATATAGCATTGCCTGAGTGCAAAATACATTTTTATTAACTATATCTGTAGTGTTTTTATGGCAACAACTCAGTTACATTAGCCAAGGTCTTGTGTGCTTGTAAAGAGCTTTGTTGAAAGACTGATGACAGGCAGTCACACAATGACCTACTTAATACCGTTTCTCCTTCAAAGTTTGAAAACAAGAAGAGACCTTTGAGATAAAGGAAGAACATACCCTTTCAAATTGTCATCTTTTTTGGGGCTGTCATAAAAAAAACAGATTTTATTTGTACACTTAATAACTCATAAAACTGTAGGCTAACCTTTAGAAAAATAATAGAATTGCATTTGTTTTGTATGAGCAATAGATGCTCATTGGTTTACTGTTAGGACACAAAAGGGAGCACACATCCTTGAGAACAATTGCCGTTTCAAGGTTTGATGAAAATAAAAAGGGAGTGATTCATCATGCCTGACTTTACAATCAATGCCAACTCAGAAATGTTGTTTGGTGAATAATCACTCATCCTGTGGCCCCCACCCTCCAATTCAAAAATCAAAAACTCACGTTATGTCATTAACTGTACTAGAATATTTCCAACTATTACATACAAATTCCACAAAAACAGTAAAGTGAAACACTAGAAATTTAGGCTCATTTCTTAAAAAGAGAAAATCAGCAGAGTTTAACTAGATCAATTAAGTGTGAAGACATTACATTTTTAAAATATTTCTTTGCCAATCTCCCATTCCCTTCATGCTCATGCTGGAAAGAGCATACAGTAGGTTCACAAGTTGTCAATCTGCTTTTTTATTTTTCAGATTTGTTCTCTTACCAAATTCATCACCTTTTCAAACTAAAATAATTCAACATGATCCTTGAAATCCAACAACTTCACAAACAAATGTTTTGTATCTGAACGTTCTAGAAAACATGACATGCTTTCTGAAAGTGAAGCTCACAACACATGTAGCTTTACTGAGCAATTGTCTATAAGATATTTGCAAGTGGTAGGTTTTAATTTTATTTATGAAACCATGCGTTCTTTGCTTTGTATAAATGTTTAAAAAAACATATTAGAAATGTTAGTCACTAAGCACTGCATCTACTCTTCACTCTCCAGCTTCATTAATCTCCACATACTAGAGTATTCAAATCCAAATAACTGGGTCACCCAATTCTTAATCTTCATTAGTTACTATTTACTTTAGTATAATCAAGGGCTAGAGTGAATCTCTCGCCCAAGAGCAATGTTCGCTAAAACACTTTATTTTAAAACTGATGGCTTTCCTCTCTTCACCAAGCACCAGGTATTCACTAACAAGAAGTAACTCTTCATAACGCTGCACAGGCTGATCCTGTTTGGCCAGGAATGCCTCTTTGTAACCAACACTTACAAACACTCCTGACAGAGCAGCAGTTGGTTTGTTTTTTGCATTTTTCATACCCCGAGATTACCTCTCTGCTGACGGTAAGACCCAGAGAGGAGTCGGGACTCAACCTGTGCCATTTAGACTTCTCACTCTCCACTACAAGAATGCATATTGCTACCTTGACAGACAATGCCCTACTCATTCAAGTATCAAAGCCTGCAGTCAGCCCCGGTTCAACTGGCCAAAGTTGTTCATCAGCCTTGCACTTCAATCCCATTGAACCTGGCAGCTTAGGAATTTAGCACACTGCTCCTCCTTCACCCTCAGGACTTTTTGGACATTTGGGAACTTAACAGTTCCTTTTCTAATTACCGTGCCATCCACCTATCTGGAACCTGTGATGCCCTTCGGTACAGCCTAAGCTGTATTTTCTCAGGCATCCCTAGCTCACCGAGTCCCACAGCCCTGTAAGCCAGCCCATTCCAGTAAATTACTAATGAGAGCTCCCCTCTGAAGTTCTCTGTTTCCCTCCTATCAGGTTGAAGTCCCTTTCCTCCTAGCTTCTCACAGACCTTTTAATTAGCCCAGAGCCGTGATTAATTCCACACACCTATCTTGTCAGCTTCTTCCCCTGGTGTGGAATTTCACTTCCTCTGAGTGCCAATGACTCAAATAGGCCAGGTGTGCATCACTCCACAGTTTTGTTCTTCACTAACAGGGGGCTCTCACTCAAAGCCACCTCTCATTTCCTTGCAATAACATTATATTTTTGTGATCTTAAAATAGGGACCCATTAAATTGTGTGTAAATCAAACATCAGAGACATTTTTCACTGATTCAAAAAACATTCTAAAAATAAATAAATGTATGTTACTTTCATACCTGGTTAATTTTCCAGTCTCAGCTCGGTTTGTGATTGTGTGGAGTATAAGCTAAATTGACAGCTTCAAACAAAAATGACAATGTTTTACTGCTTACGTACATCACAACCTTCACTTGCAGCTGGGAGATTACAAAATCCCTTTAGCTGATACAAAGCCTAGGAAAGACATCTTTTTACATTCCCAAAGTTTGCCCCCCACATTTGTAGCACTTTAAATGCAGTGAGCAGAAAGATTTTATCCAGACCCCAAGCATGCATTCATCTCCTTTATTATCTGAAAGTGTTTTCTATTTCTGCCAGTTTTCATGTATGAATCTCAGTTGCAACACAGTGGCTGATTTGCATGGTTTTAGGCTAAAATCAGGCTCTGGAAAGTCCCTTTTCAGAATATAATGAGATTGCTGAAACACTTCCAGGTGTCTTTATTTTAACTACATCACCTGTTACATTCATTGAGTACATTTCCTTATTTCATGAATAACAGACATTAATTTTACTTTCTGCCCAAAATTTCAATTACTTTAGTCAAATTAAATTGATTTCTCCTACAGTTCAATTATTTAGAGAAAACTGTTTTCATATATATGCTATCCCGAAGCCAGTTAATACATAGTTCTTCAGTATCTCTAGCCTCTGTGAAACCTTTTCCAGAATTTACAATAAGGTAGCAATTTAAACTACAAGTATAAAACACAGCCGGTTATATTTGAGTAAAAACGGTAGGTTTATTTGCAGAATAACTAAAATAATAAAATCATGATTCATGGTCTATGTTGATGTATACTCTCAATCTGAACTACCATTTCCATTGCAAACTGTCCATTCAACAGAGCATGAAAGGCCTTTGAAGTGTTCTCTGCACTGCTTTTCATCAGCCTCCAGCGGCTTCTCATGCCCACACTGGCCTCCTGAGAGCTGAGAAGCAGTTTGTCCCCTGGTTTCAAGCACTGCTGTCCAGTCATGGTGGAGCTTTGAGCCCACAGTGGCAGACATCAGCAAAAACCATAACAATCAAACAGCTTCTACCTTAAATTGTTTTCTTTTAATCTGAAAGTCAGCCATAATAAATTGCATATATTAGTTATCTGAATGCTTTATAGTAACCTGTGTACATTAAGAAATTACAAAAGTAATGCTTTCAGTCGATCTGTTAAATATTTATTCTAACAAGAGAGGAAGATGCATTTTTTGGTTATTTGCAGTTAATGCTCTCTCACAGC